ACGCACGCACCCACACACACACACACACTCGCGCGCACATGCAAACACACACACACACAGAAACACACTCACTGGCGTGCTATTGCGGTATGTGCACGGCTTCATCCTAAGCTTCTGGCTTTCAACCCAGAAACCCGCGCTTGATTATGGTCCAAATTGGGTGAACCTTCAAATCAGAAATGGCTTCAAAGCAGATCCCTGCACTCCAACAAGAAGCCGCCCTTCACCAGACCAAGGGGCGTGGAACTCAGCTGGAGGGCTTGGAACTAAGAGCCTTGAGAGCTGCGAGTCGCGAGCAGATCCTGCACTCCACGCAAGTACGGCCGAGCCATGGAATGAAACTCATGGGTGTCCAAATCGTACCGCTTCTTCAATTCATATATATATATATATGTATATGTTTATACTGGTTTCCCATGGTGTTCTCAACAAAAACATATATTTTTCTGAATGATGGGAACCCAAGCGAAACCAGCGGAATCCATGTCCTCTCAACTAAACTGAGAACAAAGAGCCATGCCACTTCCAGTCTGAGGCACAACGCGGATACCCATTCACCTGAAATACACACATGCGGAATGACCAACCAAAACTGAAAACGCTAATTCAACATTATCAAGGCGTTGAGTAGAAACAAACCGTTTTCAAGTGTTCGATGAGTGGGGTAAGTGAACTGAGCACCGAAGAGGATTCCATGGTCCACCGTCACTCCGAAACTCTGCGAAAGGAGTATGCGGCAGGTCAAAACACATGTGGTCATTGCAAAATTAGGAGTCTTTGGAATGGTCCACCCTTCAACCATCCTGGAAACAAAATAAGGATTCGGCCTCAGAAAACAGTTAGACACATGTCCTAAGTCTGTCTGACTTGCGGCCATGTCTCTGGCGGAGCCGGCATGCCCCACTGACTCCGCATCTTGAGGCACCTGTGGGCCACAGAAAGACAAAACAGCCCTCAGCTCATCTGGGTGTGCCTTTTTTGAGACTACCCGTTTTTCTTGTTGAGGGTTTAAAGGGAATGTAGCAGGGAACCACTTTTCTTTTGTTGGGGACACCCATCTGTTGCTTGGTTCATTGTGTCAAATGTAGACTAGCCACAATGGTGACTCGGGACATACCTCCCTGGGCGTTGCTTGGTGCAAGTTGTAGAAGCAACACAGGGTGATGCCTCGACTGTTTGAGGCAGATATCACTAGCTGACTGAACAGAAGCACAGCTCGCGCCGGCCGAAGGGCAAGAAGTTAACCTCAACGAGATCCGCAGACATTCTGTCAAACAAGCCCACAAGTCTCTTGCTTGTCTCTTGAAGAGCAAAGTTGTCTGGATCAAACGAGACTTCCGCGCTCAAATGGCTCCAACAGGGGGGTCTCGGCCTTCTCAATCCCCAACCATTTTCTTTGTCCCCAGCCAAGCGGCTAGCAGCAAACCAGCAAACAGGCTCGGGGGAAAACAATCAGGTCCCCTCCTCCCTCCGGCCTGGCAGGAGTGTTTGACCTCGCACGCAATCCGTGAGACCACGCCAGTGTCAAACATGGCTGCCCTCCATACTAAGACCTTATCAAGGGGTTTTGCTGGGGTGTGACAACCGCGCGTTGCTGGGGTGTGTGACAAACTCGACCTCTGCAGGCCTGAAGGGGCTCCCTCTGATTCGATGCATCTGTCTGAAACCTGGGGTCTTAAATAAGAGGGTCCGGAACAACAGACACATCATCCCATCCCACGTTGGTGCCGATTGGGACAATCTCAAAATATGGTTACTGTTTCGCACAGCTAAATGGGTATGTCTTGGTTTAGTGGACCCCTCCCCCAAAAAAAGGCAACCGGCTTTCCTGTTGGTTTCCCGTGAACACGACGACACAAAAGGGGTACCAACTCAACAAAAAAATACACCCAATTTCATGCCTGCGCTCACTTTTGGGCCGCTGCCCCGCACTCAAGGCATCCTGGACAGCCTTGCAACACGCACGACCCTTTTCCCCGATCCTTCTCCGACTCAACACTGCTCCAAACATGGCTATCATCATAGGGCCAAACATAGATGTCATGAAACGTTGACGCAGGCAACCGCGGATGGACATCGAGTGATTCTTTCTCCGGCCAGCAAATGCACCCGTATCGTGGGCATTGTGACCATGCAGACATGCACACTGCTTTACCCTCAGGCTGGATTGAGGAGTCCGAATGCAGGCCCTCTTTGCTCGCAGTCCGGCCTGCTTGACTGCCGCAGCTCCTGTAGACACATCATCATCGCCTGGCGTCACTTGCCTCCCGGACATCTGAATGCTATCCAAAAAGCAAACGTAAGATGAACAGGTTGGTGGCATGTTGGCACGACGCGCAAGAACCCCCTATCAGGCAGCCGAAAAAGGACCGAACCGGAGCATTTGAAATGCAGACCGCAAATCATACACAATTACTTACCCATGGCTGATTGAGATTTCTGGCAAACTCATTCGAGGAAAAGCACAAGCAATGGTGCATGGGTCAAGTGTATGCAAACCTAATTTCGACATTGACGTTGTTCACTTTGACCGCTTGTGTCAAGCTGTGCCTCGAGCAGTCAAAGTCAAACGCAGAACGGGTTTGTTCTGCATCTGGGAAAAGCTCCCTAAATAAGAAAGTTGTTTTGGTTTCGTTTAAAGCAACTCCAGCAAACCCAAAAAGAGCTGCCTCGAAAAAGACAACCCTACATGGTAAAACACTCGAAGAACAGGGCTGAACACCACGCCTTCCACCAGCTGCTGCCACAAACTCTCTGCTGCGCCTCACATGGAAGGATCTCAATTTGGGCGACTCCCGCGATATACGATACGAGCTGACTGCAGTCTTAAGCCTGATCGTCCAACTTGTGACCTTGCAACCAATCTATCTGAAACCACGCTCCCCGCCAAAACCAAAGGATTGACGCTACTAGCGCCAAGCTTGTTGTAAAATATGCATCCTGCAAGGCAACCCTGTTGCCCTGTGCCCTCTTCCAGTACTTCTCCCCACCGTTTCAATATTGAAACTGCACTCTCTGAACATTGCACGTACGCCAACCAGAAATTGTAAGCTGAGGGGCGTGCCTTGTTGACTTTATTGTTTCTAGCCCAACTGTGGAGGAATCGACCCTACGACGCTTGCGTAGCCGGCTCGTGAGGCCCCAGCGAGTATCCTCGGTGTCTTGCAACTGCGAGAGCTTGCCTCACACAAACGCGTCGGGCGCCTGGGCGTTTTACATGGCGCCATTCATATCTATATCTGGAAGAGTGTCCCTTGCCAAGGGTTTGTCATATATGCCATGTGCAATCTCCAATTTTTCCTATGTTGGACGCATCCTGTGACGATTTCATGTGGGCGTTGATCTGACAGATGACCCAACTGTGCGAGCCAACTGTTTAGACAGCCATGTATGATGCCGTCGACTTGACTTGTCCAGTCCGACGGGCATGACGGGGCATGGGCTGAGCTGCAACACTATCCATGGGCGTCAAGCAAGAGACTCTTTGTCGGGGGTGTTCAAAGGAAACCAAAGGGAAGCCACATCAATATATGGTGAGGCTCTCCCATTGTGATACAAGCCCGTATGCTTGCCATGAATAGATATGAAGTTGTGCCCCTCGAAAGCTGGATTGCCCAGGGTCAACGAGGCTCGTGATTGGCACTAGTTCCCTGGCTTCTTGAGGCACGTGGAATCCATACAAATCATCTCAGGGTAGTTGGATGAGTCGTCAGCGTGCACGCATCTTATGCCATGAGCAAGGTTGTGCATCACCACAAACTACGAATGGGTCAAAACCCTGGTCCCCCCCGCCAAATTCACACGCAGATTCCCTGTTAAAATGGACCAAACAAAAGGGGGTAAAGGGGGATACCCAAACAAGGCCATCCCAGTTTTGACCCAAACCCATGATACCCTTGCCAGTTGATCAGCCACGGCCGTGTCAGCCAACATACAAGAAGATTTGGGTCGTTTGCCTCATTGTCCCATTGCAAGCCGGCCAACAGCCTGCAAGGACGAAACCGGTCGTAACCGCCCTGAGGTTGCGAACATATTCCCCTCAAATATCGCTCGCACAAGGGATTTATGGTCAGGACAGAAGTCGCCCACTATCCTCCATTTGCTTAAGTGCCCTAGCCAAAACTAGAAAACAATAACTCCAGTAGTGATGTCGATTCCCTTTGAAACACCAACACAACCTTAAACAAATATTCCTTTCAAATGGAAGCCTTCTGAAAACCACCTGAAAACAACCCAAAGGAAGCTATTCAACACATCTTCAAGCACTTCTGGAGGTTGGATTTGTTGCGGCCAGTCAGACGGCTTTTGGGTTGCGGCCGGCACTCTTCAACTCGAAAATGCCATGGAGGACCTGGCGGTGAAATCTGGCCGAAAGCTGCACTCAACGGAAGGCCTGCATTTTTCCTTTTGGTTTCCCCTCCCTGGAAACTCCTGATTTTTTGTCATTGGATGCTGTAATCCTGGATTTGATAAAACGGAGCTTCTATGCTGCTAGCCCGAATGGCAAACCTCGAAGTGCCCAACCGAAAACACGGAAACCTGCTCTTCGAAGAAACTGGTGTACAAGGGATTTTTACAAGCCAAACACTGAGGAAACTTGCTGGTTGACCCCATTTTAGCAAGAGAGGGGCGGGTGTCCAAAAAGAGTGTCGTCTTTCTGTTTCATGGTTCTTTGATAGACCAGCACGCAAACACACAAACAAACACCTCGGTTTTGCACCAATACCTGAACAGAAGGATGGCCACCGGTTTGGGGGGGGGAGAGCTATGTCAGCCGAAACCAGCGGCTAAACATCAACAGACCCTGCCACCCAAAGAAAATGAAGAGAACCGAAGCACCAAGAAAACCACAAATAGTTGGAGAAACGAATCGGCGGGGATACAGGAAGGCGGGGAATGCTGTCCATGTATCTCCAACTTAGACTTGATTGGGCCCCAAAACAGCCTTCATCCCTTGGGCCAGTGGTTTGGGGTTGGTTTGGGTTGGCCTTCGCTGTTTCTCAGCTCGGGGCCTTCGCCTTGACGGCAGCGGGCCGCTGCCTTGTGGCTGAGAGCAACTGCTCCAGCAGCTCCGCCTGACGCGATCCCGAGACCCATGGGGCAAAAGCCAAAAAGCCTGGGTCTCACGGGAAGGCAGATTTAGGCTTGGTCAAGCCTTGTGTTGCTCTTTTGTTTTTGTGATGGTTTCCAGGAGACGCAAACCACCTGGAGGGGTCCCTGATTTTGAGTGAGACATACGCAAGGGGTCAACGGACTACCACCGTCGTTGTAAGGGCTAAATGGGCGCCAATCGTTGACCCAGCTTGGGCATGGGCCCAAAGTCGAAGGGGAGAGCTCGGTTCTGGGGGATGGTGTCTGAAAGCAAAATTACCAGAGGTGAAGCTGCGCAGCAAATGATGAGCGACTTGGCAGGCACGCAAACGACATGGAGTGGGATGCTAAGAAACAACATGAGAAGTACATTTGGAGCCCTACCTGGATTGGTAAATACAGTCCTTCCGAATTCAGGGGAGTCTGCTTCCCCTGCCAAACGTTCATACCTGTTGCCAAGGAACGCTTGCAACAGTTCAATCCCATTGGGACCCTGCATCATAGACATCTTGGGATAAGCTCTGACTCTGAATAGGGCCTCATTCAGGAAAGCTGGACCCCCCTCGGCCCTGGACCGTCAGGCCTTGCTGCCTTGAGTCACAGCCTCGCCCAGCCACTTCAGTCGAGAGGTAAGTGAGGCCTGCACGAGTGGATTGCTTGAGTTGCAACTACATTGGACTCATAAATCAAGCACAAACACAAACATTTTGGACTTGTCCTAGAAATCAGTGTTTGTTGTTTGCTTGTTTGCTCGTTTGCTTGCTCGTTTCGTTCGTTCTGTATTTTGTCTGATGAGTTGTGCATACACACACACACACACAGGAGGTAAGGCCTTTTAACATTGCCAGCCTAGGTGCCACGGTGAGCAAAGCATGGCCATGGTAAAACACGAGCGTCTCATAAGTTGCATGATGCGACGCTGAGTTGAAGTTAAGCTGTATCTCACGGCAGCGCGGACCAAAGCGTAGGTCTGTACTCCCCATCGCAGGTAGCCCCCATTTGCCAATGGCCTTCCTGCGCTGCTCCCTGTGCCAGTTGTTTTTAATCGCAAGCTTGGCCGGGGATCTGCATCTAAGCACTTGCAATTTATTGATGCCAAATCTTAAGGCGGAAATTTAATATAACGGTGACAGCGTTGCTATGCTCGGTTTAAGACAAACATGCCCGTTACAAGAGCTGGATTCTGCTACTGCTATACCATACAGGCTACGTACCACTTGTGACCAATCGAGCAACCTTCTTGGCTGTCTAGAACGTGATATCTGTGTGGAGGATGCTGTCTCGCAGCGCTAACTAAGTGAGTATGACAAAACACAAAAGGGGGTGGTCAAAATCCTGGACCCCTATCGAGTTGTTGAACCCCGTAGGGGCAAATAGGAGCGAACATATGTTGGCTCCTTTTGGCGGATTGAAGGGCTAAATGAATGCGCATCAAGGCACACAACGAAGGGTACGACCCGCGCACGCCCTCGAAGCGTCTGAGAGGTGCAACATGCGTTAGGCTGTCCCCGCCTTAGTCACCTTGCCAAGCGCCTCGCAGTTGGACTCCGTAGGGGTCCTTGCAGGACTATTGCTCCTCAATCACCAGAGGGTCCCTTGGTGCAAACAATGGAGGAAGTAATCACTCAAGGACCAGCAACTACGTAACCAAATAGACTATTTAAGCTAAACATGTTGTAAAGAGACCCGAGTAGTTGCATACTCATAGTAGGGGATTGGTTTGAACAGGGTGATACCTTCTAAGTCAGCGTGAGGAAAACAACAACAAGGAAGTTTTCATGGTTGAGGGCACAACGCTCGTGACTCACAGGTACGTTGATCAGTTCTCATCTCGAGGAAATCTGCGCATCCAGGGTCAAGTTCGCTTAAGACGGGCCGACATGAAACGAATCGGGGAAAAACATATATGGCTGTGGGTCAAAAACATGTACCACAATGGCAGCTTGGTAAATGGAAACAAAGACTAAAACCTGCGTAACCCATAAGGAGTTGTCTCATGGGGGAACTCTGAAAATGGGCGCTTGGGATACCTCCTTGACTTTGACAGGAAATATCAACCCGGGAATATTCAAAAAATCGCCCCCTGGGTTGATGAATACGGAGATGTGCTGGTTTTGCAGGTTCAGACCACTTCTGGAGGGGAGCACCGCCCAAGAAGCGGTTGATCAATCCAGGGTCAACAATACCCAATTCCTAAAACTCACTTCCTAGGTGGACTGGCCTCAAAAAGTCCAAACTGTTGTTTGCCACCACATTGGTCCAACCCCAAAAGTTTAAAGACAGCACGCAAGCAAATCCTAAAAAGGGCCCTGACTTGATCAACACCCCCGCCTAAAAAAACAAAAAACAATTTCCCCGATCCGCATCGCGTGCCTGGCGAAGTGGGGCTCGAAGTGTTGCACCAACTGCACCGTGGCCAACGCTTTGTCTGCCAAGGCCTGGCACTCGAATGCCACGCGCAACGCGCACGCACACGCGCGCGTCGGAGAGGAGTCCGCTCGATTGTCGACGACCTCTGCACGGATAAAACTACTTGGTGCCCCTCAGCTTGGTGCCTGACCGCCTTGCGAAGGGTGTTGTCTACAGTTGGAAAGGAACAAGTACTTTTGCGGGACTCACTGGGATTGTCGGGGTGCTCTGCGGGCAGGGGATAATCTGGGAACTTGCCATTTCCCCAACAAACAACCATCCCTGAAACCAGTTTGCAGGCGGCAAACTAGTGATACATCCCTTCATAAAAACTCATGAGGAAGTATCTTGACCTCTTTTCGGCTTTTGGACATTCAACAACACTTTCTTTGTTGCAGCCCACTCCTCAAGAACCAACCGGAAAAACAAAACATCTACAAACAACTCGGCAACGCTGAAGGGACCCCACCCGTGCGCTTCAACCCGACCCGGTGCGCCTTGGCGTCACGCTGGGCCTGGCTCAGCTTCATGCGACGCAGCTGCAGCTGCCGCTGACACTCGTCCTGACGTGGCGCGGAGCGTGGCGCGTTGGCGCGGACGCGGCGCGTGGACCGTTGGGCCAAAGGGACATGGGTGGCTCGTCTTTTTAAGATTTGGAACGTTTTGGAATCCCAAAATAGCAGGTTGTCCTTTTGACTTCTCTTTAAAACACAGCCCCATGGGTCAAAACTGGACAAATAGGAAAGCAAAGGCCGACAGAGCCATTCGCCATAAATCCTGACGATTGCTGAATGCACTAGATGGCCTGCACAAGCCCAATGAGAGAGGGGAAATGCTAAGAACGGCTTTCGGGAGCCAAGGGGCAAAGACTGCAAGAGAAAACAATGCAACAAGTTATTTAATGGTTTATGTAATGAATTCCTGGCCGTGACGACTCCTTATTCAATTCAGTCATTCTTTAACAATTCAAGTGAGACAGTCAGGCAGGAATTGATCTTTACATCCTGGACCTCGTTGCAAGGAACAAACAATCAGAGTCAAAGGTACCTTGATGCATGCCACTGGCCCACCTCTTCAATGCTAGTCCAGTGTGTGGTGAACTGCAAACCGCTTCACATCCTGCGTGCGGTTCCCCGATTCAACAAGTGCAAGTGCTACCCATCGATGCAAAATCAACACACAAAGAAACATCAACCTCGTAACAGTTTACCAGAAAACATGTGTATATGTATACATACATCCCACCCCTAGGCTCGAACATTTTGCTGAAGACTCCATTGCGGATGGGTGAGCAACCCATGTGTGCAGCGCCATGTTCAGTGAAACATTGAACCTCACCTGAACATGAACAAACAACTATGGATCATCTGGGGTTCCAGCCCCATTTTCTCAAATCTCTTCAGCCTTTGAATTCCAAAAGCTCTTGTTTGCATACTTGTTTTTGCTTAAACCTCTATTTAAACATCCTCCTTCCGGGTTCCCCTTTTGAAGGGCGGTGAACACGGCCGTTTGTACCAAGGCGTCTTTCACCACCGGCCCCTTCGCGTAGCATCCCTTCAGCCGCCTCGGCGCTGAGCACGTTGGAAGCCCCGGAGGCACAGAAGTGGGAGCAGATCTTCAGGAGGCCCGTGGTGCTTTTGCCCACCTCCTCTCCATGGATACGGTGCTCTGACTCATTTTCTCCTTTTTTCTCGGGGGCGGAAGCCCTTGTACTAGTCTTCGTTCTTTTCTCTTTTTTTTGGGGGGGGAATCCCTAATTGTTAGTCTTTTTGGTGGGTTGCTGGGGTTTTAAAGGGAACCCATTGGCTGCTATTTTTTGGGTGGGGGGTACCCTTGTTGGTTGGTTATACAAGGAAACCAAGAGGAAAATATCCATCGATATGGGTCTGCCTCTTTTGGCGGGGTACCCTTTTGTAGTTGGTCAAGGGAAACGAAAAGAAAAACCGTTGAGCGAATTTGGGGGGTGCCCTGAAAAAAGACACACCCATTTGGATTTATAAACCACGAGGCAAATCTGACTCAAAAAAGAGACTTTGGACCAAACTCGAAAACACTTAGGTACAACCCTAGTACTTGGAGCTCTAGGTGCTTTTCCAACAGTAGACCAACTCATAGAGTACTGGACCCCTACAACCCCTTGTGCCTGTACTCGGACCCCAGTCTCAGACTTGGACCCTCAAAAGGCCGAAAGAAAACGCTGCGAGGCAAACATGCACAAACAATCGCCTTGTAAAACCCTCTTTCCCTTAAGTACTAAAGGGACTTTAGTTTACTCTCCCTCCATGGAATCTGACGATCGGAAGGTGTAAGACTACTTCATCTTGTGGAGCCTCTCTGTCTTCCATGATTGTTGGGGAGGGTATTGGTGACCCCATATTAATCAACCCCAGTATATTAATAGGGGGGTTGTCCCTGGGTTTAGTCGGGAATCAAACCACCTTTGGAGGGGCCCCCCAACCCCCTATTCATAAACTGGTTGGTTGATTAATACTGTGCATGGACGTTCGAAATCCTGCTCCACTTTGCAACCATTTGCAGGGGAACCATCATTTCAGGGATTCTTAGGTGCTGCGAAATGGAATTTCGCAACCATCCACAGTATGAGGTCAAACATTTGTGGAACGCGCCTTCAGCGCCTTGATCTCCTCTGGCATCTCCGTAGCCAGCTGCGAGGCCGCGAGATCTTGGCTTTGCTGCTCCGTGAGTGCCAAGTACCTCACGGCGCTTGGAACGTGCAAAGAGTCCGGTGGTTTGGAGCTGAAAAGGGGCGGGTTTCCCACTAAACCGCCATTTCGGGGGTAAGCTTCAGGATGCCACTTCAGGGAAGCTGAAGAATTCCGTAAAATCCGCTTCCCCCGAATTGGTGGTTTGGCTTGGTTTGGAGGTGAACAGGGTGTGGTTTCCCATTTACCCTCTACAAGAAACAAGCGTTCAAATCCCCAAACCACCAATCCAAGCCACCAATTGAGGGAAACCTGAAAAGGGGGCCCTTACCATCTGAAAAAAATGGACCAGTGTTGGCTCCATTCTGTTAATTCCCTTCCACCCTTTCAACCACAACACCAAACCTGTTTCCATGTTGAAAGTCTTCCATCCATATTCCTATGGAATCCCTTGTTGGAGAGTTTGAACGGATCCATCAACAAAAAGCAACGCAGGGCCCCATGTTTTTGCTTGTCCTTTCACGTGCTGACTGGAGCCAACTGGTGGGTTGCATGTGAGCTGGTGGGATGCTACTCAGGTAATCCTCGACTTAGGGGTTGTTGATTTCCAACAAAAAGGCTTAAGTCTACTTCTGGGGCAACTAAATGACACCCTATTACCAACCGGGGCGTGCCACGCGGAAATCTGAGCAGGTGAGTTAACTTAGATGGACATATGCCAAGTGCAAGGCACATTTACATGTAGACATGTGTCAGGTATGTCAGTATTATCTTGCGGTACTTTGCGCGAGCCTGGATATGCCCACATGCCACACGTCTCAGTATGCTGTTCTTTACAGGAGCACTGTTGCAGGCAAACAAGCAACAACGCCGGTGCATAATCATTGGCTTGAAGTGCAAGGACATGTTGCAATTCTCGGCTGTATCCTGCTGACTCAAAGCAATCAGGTCTTCAAAGCATGCCCCACTCAAACAAAAACTGGGCAAATTAGAACCCGGAAACCTGGTTCCGGAATCCCCAAAGGGGCATTCATGTTGCCTGAGATCCTGCCCACGAATCAGTGAGCTCGCCATGTTACTGTGATTTCGTCCAGCTATGGACTGGGGTTCCATTTCAGGGTACTCTGTTGGGTGCGGAAGACAACAAAGAATTGGAGATCAAAGGTAACCAAAGAGCAAACAACAAACGGAAACCTAAGGGAAATCAAGGAACCTGCGAAGCATGGACCCCAGTCTGTCGCCTGGGTTCCCGTCACCTGCCACGGTCATGGCTTTCTGTGACCTTCTGTTTGTGTATTCCAAATCTAGTTCATCAGCACAGGGGCCACAGCATGTCTTCAACCCAAATTGTGCCCTCACGAGACCCAACCGAGTGGCAACGCTCGCTCCTTGGGTGTCTGCCGCACCGGCACAATCTTCTCCTCTCGGCTCGTCACGATCGAAACCTACCCTCCATCTGACGAGCCCGACTGTCTCCCAAGGCTGAAAGCGTAGTGCAGAAGCAACATGGCCCAAAACAAACACCTAGTTGGCAGAGAAGCCAACTAGGTATCTTCACAGGGTTTGATAGTGGCTCTCTTGGCCCCCAACCAAACTGGTCGTCTGGGTCCAATCAAGTGGCATTCCTCAAAATGACCCTCTATTGGTTTAAAGGGAAACAACACCAAAGTACCCTCCCTCCAACAATCAGGCAAGACATAGGGGTTCCCCAAAAGGAAAACAGTTTTCCAAACCCTCTGACCGTCAGCTTCTTTAATTGTTGGAGGGCGGGTAATTTTGAGAGCCCCTCATGGTTGTGTCAGTTTCCCCTTACGGGCCCAGAAATACAAAAGGCGAGCACCTTTTGGCGCCATGACTAAAAACAAACCAAAACTCGCAAACCAAAAGGTTCCAAAATGACCCTGGGTCATTTCTTGGTGGTTTCGGTGGTTTCCTGTGTTCATCGGACCTTTTGATCAACCCCCGTCCTCCTCTTCCAGCGGCGGCAGCTCGGAGGTGTTCCGTCGCGCGAACGCGTCCAGCCACTCCTCGCAGGGCGTTTCTCTTCACGGGAAACCGGGCGGAATCCTAGACCTCTAGTGGATGCCTAGGGGACAAGGGCCCCAAAAACAACCAAACAGTTTCAAGGACATAGGGCAGCACTGGAGGGTGTATCCAAATCCTCTTGATCAATACACACGGGCGCACTCCATCTCACACAGGCTGCAGCTTCGCAAGTCTAACAGCTGGAATCAGCGTTAGCATAGTCAATGTATTCCTCGCAACTGCTTGTTTCCAGCTTAAGACACGTGTAGATGGTGCATATTTAGGTCCAACCTTTACATTCCTGTAACATGGAATCCCAAAAACGAGGGTTTCGAATGAGGGGTCTCATTTTGCCTTTCGTGGGTTCCAAAAAGGATCCAGGCAAGCAAATGTCTTAAGCTCTCAGGCGGCATCCTTGGCAAAGAAAATGCTATGTAACTTGTGTTACCTTCATGCGTTGGGCTTGATATTTGCATGCTGTGACGATGTTGCCTTTCAGAAATTCAGCTCCTATTTTATGGAACCCAGAAGCTCCTGTTGCTTCCAGGAGAGCTGTTTCGGTGCCATGCCTGCTGAAAATTCATGTTTAAGAACCCGTGGAGTCAACATTTCACTCAGTGATATGCAACCAAAAAGAACAAGTTTGGACACGGATTTTCTGAGTGACGTGTCGCTTGCCTGCATCCGTTTGTATTGCACATGATGATATTGTTGGTTGTCTTGCCTCCGCAAGTGAGGGGAGTGCCGCTGAGCAGCAGTGCCCTTTACTCCATCATTGATGGGTGTTCAGGCCGGACTTTGCGGCTCACCTGGGGTGCTCAAAACAGTGAGGGACCCATTTTGAAATGGGACATGCTCCCCATTTTGTTGAAGAATAGCATATAATTGTAGTTTTCTTTGCATAAAAGCAACATAATCCCTTCCCCCTAATAATAAACGACGCCCCCCCCCCCCTCCCCTCCCTAATAAAAAAAATACCCGGCCTGCAAAACAATTTTTATTATTAGGGGTCCCCTGATTCTAGAGGGCAGGTTTTGGAGGAGGGTACTTCTTGTTCTGTGTAGGCTTGTTTGCAACTGTGGTCCCCCTGTTCCGTTCCGTAAAATCGCTTCAAACGCACATTTCTGAGTAAGGAATTTAAGTAGCGGGAGTTGAGGTCACGTTTTGTTGTTTTTGGTTGTGGGTTTTGGGTAAACGTGTTCCCGGAGCTCTGGCTTGAAAGTCGCAACTTTGTAGTACAGCCGTGTAAAGGAAACGTGCTCCCGGAGCTCAGGCTCGAAAGTCGCAACTTTGTAGTACAGCCGTAGTAAAGGAAACGTGCCCCCGGGGTCCCCCTAATGGGGCTGGATTTGAGTACGGGCAGGAAAATATCTACTTTAGAATTGGTTTAGCATTGGCTATTCTAAAAGTAGTATTCCCGGATTTGGGACTTCCGAAACAAATATTTATTATTAGGGAGACCTTTATTAATAGGGGGAAGTGATTACTGTGGATGGACAAAATTCTGCACCACGTTGGAAACCATGTTTTGTTGGTATTTACAGAGGAATCAAAGCCTGCCAGGGTTTCTTAGGCGGTGCAGGATTTTGTCCATCCACAGTAGTATGTAACTATCATATGAACACATACTAATAATAACAATAACAATAATCATAGAAATACTGGCAATGCTAATGTCACTAATGAGAATAATAGCGATAACAATAACACTAATAATACTCGCAGTATTAATAGTACCAATGATGCTACTAATAATTATCAGCAATAACAACAACAATGATACTACCAGCAATACTAATAGTAGTAATGACAATAACAATACCAATAACAACACTAATGCTAGTAACAGTATGAACAACACCAATACCACTCACAAGAATAACATTACTAATACTAGTGTTACTAATAGTAGCAATAGCAACAATGTTACTAACAATGCTAATAATACTAGTAACAATCCTTACTAATAATAATCACAACAATCGTACACTAGTATATTTGCGCATGTCGAAGAAACCTCCTTGACCCCAGCCAGCATCCTTTCCGTCCTGCGCCACCTTGCGTGCCTCCTCCCGGTCATCCTCCGGCAGCTGCACACCAAAGAAGCTCGCCGCCTCCCAAGGCTGATCCACGCAATGGGAGGTGATGGTTGCTTAAAGGTGGTGCCTTAAGCCAAGCGCGCGGGCTTTCATCACATGGCCATGGGGCATAACCTATGGCTCCATTTTGGGGTGGATGAACATCCATTTGCCCTATTTTGATGTTCACCAGGGGTACAGGGTTTTGACCCACAGCCACATGGTGGGAGAGTGGGTGGGCTATTCATGGTGTCTGTCCAAACTGCATAGTTGATGGGCTTTGGCCCATGTCGACTTGCGGCATTATTGACATCCCCACTTGCTCAGGAATCCACAAGCAACAAATAAACAACCTCAACACACAAGCCATAAGGCAACCAGACGCATCTTCAAATATCCCGAGGTCGCATGCAGCCTGTTTTGAGAGGAACCTCCCTCCCCAAAGAACCCCCGCAGAATTAGAGGTTAATAAGCCTCAATAGGGCCACATGGGTGCGTCTCTTTTGTGGTTTTAAAGGGACACCAAAATGAAAAACAATTCTTTTCTGGGGCGGGGGGGCGAAAGAGACACACCCAACCTGGGCTGTTCACAACCCAAACTGGGCTGTTCAAAATGGAGGCTTGGTCAATCCTAATCCATAAATCCCTACAGGGAAGCCACTCCAAAGGGGACCGGTTCCTTTTCGCAGCCCAAGGTAAGGATCTTGCACCCCCGAGCCAAATAAGGCGTTGGCAGTGATATTCATCATCCCTGTGAAACAAGCCCCATGCGGCCCATGCGTCATCCAGGGCCTTGCGAACCTTCTGCAGCGTCTGGCAGGGCAAAGTGCCGCTCAAGCCCCATCTCAGCTGGACAGTGCTGTCAAACAACAGTCACCATTTGGAGCTTTGTATTTAGGATTTGGACCCCCAAACTTCCCTTTTAAAACCACAAAAAAGGTGCTTGTATCCGGTATCCTCAGAAAGACTGCCCCATGTTTTTGGTGCCACTTAGAATCTACATGGTCACCGGTCGTGATCATTTCCCTTGACTGGTGACAGAAAGACATAGGAACAACATGTTCAGCAAGTGGATGGTGAGGGTCCCCAAAAGCAATCATCTACACTACAAAGGTGCCAGAATAGAGGCCAAAGCCAAAGCTGCCCAAGCTTGATGCAGGTTCCTGGAAAAATGAAACCATCAATCTGTGCAAAGTTCCTAATCAGAGGGCAAGCGGGTAGCCAAATAATATGTATTTATCAACCTGCTTTGCGTGGGCGCAAAGTTGCCCATCATAGAAACATGGGGCTTGAGCAACGAGAAACCTGAATTGCCCGGGAGACTCAAGTTTTCGACTGCCCAAAATTCATGGGGAAGCTGCGCTGCCATTGCCGAAAGCCTTTTCAAGCATGCCCTGAAACGTCCCAGATGCCCCCAAAATCTTCCCTTCCCCAGACCACTCTTGATTCAACGGGCAAAGTGACTTGTGATTTCAGACTAAAGACCCGCAACCCGCGACACATGGGTGTCTTTTTGAGGGGAACCTCCAGAATGGCAGCGCTTGTCCTGTTGGTTCCCTGTAAAACCACAAAAAAAACAAGTGGCATGCTCAAAACAAGACAAGCCCGCATGCATAGATGTCCTTTTTGGTGGTTTTGATAGACAATTCCCAAAAGGGATGCCTATGCCCGAAGACCTCGTACAAACATAGTGAACCCAGAACCGTGTAAAGGATTGACCAGGCGGAATTATGTACCCATTTATGGCAGGCGGAATATCCCGTGCTTACCTTCATCTATCCAAATCGGTTTTGACACCTCGCTAGGGAGACCCTTGGACCCTACAATATGAGGGCCTTCAGCCCTCAAAGGCCTCAAACAATGAGGTCTTGGGCTCCTGGGGCCTATGCCCACACTATCCCAGGTTGGATTGCAAGGAGACTTACAGGAAGCAACCAAAACAAGGGGTTCCCCTGTCTCTCACTTCCTGAATGCGACTGGCCAAACAAAGTAACCAAACTTGTTGGCTACCAACATGATCCAACTTCCCAAAAAGTGACTAATTAAAGCTCATGAACTCAGGGAGAACAAGGAGGTTTTCATTTTTAAAGACCTTCCCATGTGTCCTTTTGTTTGCTTCCCGAATTTCTCCCCCCCCCCCCCCGAAACCCGCCCTCCTTGCGCGAGGCAAGGCGCTTGAAGTCCGCGTGGAAGAGCTCCACCGCCACCTGGGCCGGGGGATACCGCGTCAGCAGCTCGTGGAACTCGTCGCAGACCACGCGGCGCCACCAGAAGGCCTGAGCTCGAGCCGTGGGCGTGGGGCCGTTTTGGGGCCGTGGGACGCGCAAGGGAACCCGGCTGGGGGTTCGGTGGTCCTGTACTTGGTGCAGGTTGTTTAGGGCTGCCTTGGTTTTAAGGTTGGTTCAGGTTGGGTCCCGCCCCTGATCAGCTTTTTGCAGAAAAGAAAGAAATGAACGCTCGTGGCAACTTGGACGTTGATCAATCTTCCGTTTAGCATTTTTGGCCCCCAGTTTTCACCATGGGTACTTTCCCCATTTAGTGGGAAAGATCGAATCTTTTTAGTGGTTTTCCAACCAATGGTGATCCCATGTAAAGGACCTTTTGATCAACCCCCAAGTACTGAATTCGTGGCATGCGCAGCACTTTTGCAAGGTCGATGGATAGATAGATCGATAAAGAGAGAGGGAGAGAGAGAGAGAGAGATGTAGACAGATAGAAAGGTAGACAAAAAAAACAAGTATACATATATATATATATTGTGTACATTTATAAATGGATAGGCAGACAGACAGACAGATAGATAGACAAATGGATAGATAGAAATATAAAAGATAGATAAGGCAGGTAGTTAGGGTAGATAAATAGATAGGATGCGGGCGTGTCCTTTCATTTTGAGGGTACTCCCCTACAAATGAACAGAAAAAACCCACACATTTCCCAAAAGGAGATTCCGATCCTAAAAGAGAACAGTTTTTCAGGGCCCAGGGTCCATGTTTATCTGTAGGAGTGCACCCCCCTTGGATTTTGTTTGGGGGCGGGATCCCTAAAAAAGACACACCCCCTGCCCAGCGGATTCTTCGTTTGTTTAAGGGGGGTTGGGGTACCATAGGTGAATGTCAAGGAACACGTGCCCACTAAAAAGTGACGTCCTCTAAAAGAACCTCGAAAATGCTGGGATAAAGTGAAACACCCCCGCTAAGTACCCTAGGAGCCCTTTGGACCCTAACATGAGGGCCTTTGACCCCCAATTGACCCCCAAAGGCCTCGAACAATGAGGTCCAAGTCGCTCCTGGGGTAATGTTCAGAATTCTTCAACTTCAAGGGATCAGAGTTCTGGCGTGACCGTGCGCCCCAAATACCCCAGCCTCGAGGGGTACGAACTGTGTGGCGGCCGCCTGGTGCTTGGAAGGCTCCTGATGGCTTGGGGGTGTCAGACGGTTTGAGCTGGAAAACCAAGAAATACCTGTGACATCCGCTGGAGGTTCCTTCTGTCCCTTTAAACAGGCCGTCACGACCCCCTTGGTAGATGGCGCCATGTTTCGAGGGTCATGGAGACTCCAAGTGTGGCAATATCTCCTTGACACTAACAAAAACTCGACAAACACATATTAAGTCTAGAATGATTCGCCTTAAACAAAAAACAATAAACTCGGCCACATGGAAGCTGTGTCCCTTAGACAAAAAAAACACAATTCGCTCATGGAAGATCTCTTTTGACCGTAGCGTCAGCAACGCCTTTGCTCGAGACGGAATTGACAAAACGCAATGAGGAAGGAAATTACTACCTGTTTGTGTATTGTTTTATTGTTATTCTATATTTCTTGAATGAGGGGGGTTATTTTGCCCATGTGCAAGTAGGTATTATTTCTTTAGCGAACATGTTTTCAGATTTGTTTGTTGCGAAATGCACAACACGCAACAGTCAACAGTCAGCATCCAGCTTGCCTGACTCGGACAGAATCACAACATGAAGACTCCAACGGAGAGCTGCGTAGCTCTGCTTCACCCACAAGGAAAGTATGTGATTCTTTCCCACGCAATTCGGGCAATGTATACCATTCCCGCAGCGAAAAAGGAACCACGAAAGCATGGGGCATATAGCCAGGAAAACTGACTGTACGCGCGTCTTGTTGAGGGTACCCCCTTTTTGGACGTGCTTTACGGCAAACAGTGTTCAAGGGCTTTGCCCTGGGTTTCCGTCATTTACAAACAACTATGGTTGTACTCTCCTGCAAATTAACATGGAACTCCAAACAAATCCTTTTGGAGTTCTTCGACCACCTTTTAGGTTCCTTCCGTGCAGGCGAGTATACCCCAGGTGAGTACCCCAGGTGAGTTACCCAGAACCATGGAAAGAATTAAAAGGCTGCACCCAGTTGGGCATAAATTCTGACTAGAGAGGTTTTTAGGACGCGGGTCAGATGGGTTTAAGCCAAGGCGTCCCCACCGCCGTCCTCGGAAGCAAAGGCCTGCGAGCCGTCCATCTGCTTCTTGTTCAACCGCCGACGTTTGCCCTGGGACTCGCCCTCCTCATATGCGGATCTGTCTTTTGCGATGCCCGCTGGCTGTTACCCAAAATGAAAGCCTCAATTTTGGAGGGGTCGGATCCCCCAAAAAAGGACAACCCCATTTTGGGGCTTAGGCATGGCGTGTCGCAAAAAACTGCTTTGAAACTTATATTGGCGTTGAATGAGCCTCCATACCACAGTTTTCTCCTGCCAGCGAGCAAGACTGAACACATTTGTGGATTGTACAAATGCAAACGCAGGAAGTGGATAGTCCCCTACCAAATTAACGGAGGGAACCTAAGGGTTTCAAGGATCCAAAAGGAGATCTCGTGTTTTTTGCCGGTTTGTATGTTATAACTTGCAGGGGGTAATGTTGAGCGACAGCGTGACAGCATCATCGTTTATGGACGAACCACCCGTCGGGCAATGCCAAAGCCCTGAAAAGGGTTCTTGGCTGGCCAGATGGGCACGGCGGGTAATAATAACTCCTACAGCGAATAGCTGCACATTTGTGTTTGTGTGTGATGCGTCTTCCTCTTTTTGTTGCTTGACCAAATAGCGCCGGTGCCCATCCTGAGTAATTCGTGCTCCTGTCACATGACGACCTCGGGAGCCTATGTTGCAATGACAAAACCATGCGATGATCACACAGCATAACTGTTCATCGTCCGGAATGACCGCCACATCAGACCAATAGTCAATCCATTCTTGATCGGAACTCCTTCCGAATCAGAGTCTACATGCAACGAATAGACAGGCAACCTCACGCCTGTTTGTGGACGCTCGGGCTGTTATGTTTCCCATTCAGCTCATTTGCTTCAGTGCTTCATGGCAAACCGCTCACCTAGCACTTGGTTCGCATCCAGCCACACACTTGGAGCCCCTTGGACCCTATGAGGCCTCCGTGAACCAACAGGACGGGATTTCCCGACTTCTGAACTGTTCCGTGGGATCCCCCACATTTGAACCGGGTTGCCTTCCAAACGCTGCCCCGGGAAAAGCAAATCACAAAACCACTAGCACACATTGACATTTAACTAGTGACCCTTTGGTGGACGCCATTTGTGTAACAAATTTGTCCACCAGCCACTTTTGAGGTGGCTCCAACTCTTGCAACTCATATCTATTTGACGCATTTCACCATTGTCGACCCAAAGGTCCTCAGCCTCTTGCATGGGTTCGCGTCATCCGCTGCCCCATTTTTCCGAATTGGTGGTTGGGTTCTCCTGGTGAAATTGTTCAAAAGAACCCAGCCCAGTCCACAACCAAACGGGCGTGTCTTTTTTTAAGGCAAACCTCCAAAATGGTGGGTTTCTCTTCTGCTTTCCCTTTCAAGCCAGCAAAAAAAGGGTCCTAAAAAGACAGCCACCCAACCCAACCTACCCCCCCCCCACCTTAAGGGGAAGGGGGGAGGTCCCCAATTCCATTTATCTAGTCTTCCCAGAAAAGGGAAAATGGAACCACAAATCGAATTCCAGGGTCCCAATTCCATTTTGAGGGGGTGGCGATCCTACCCCCCCCATGCCCCCCCCACCCGGCCCCACTCCTCGGTGCGGAGCCCCACCCGCCGCGCCGCCCACGTGGGCAGCACCTCGAAGGCGCGGCGGTACGCCTGACGCGGCGTGAAGCGTCTCCGAGTTCGGCGCTGGAGGACTTGGCGAGTCCCCACTTGGATGAAACCTTTGAGTTCATGGACATTGATATTTGTTTTTGGGAAGTTGGATCATTTTGGTGGCCAAGTTTGGTTACTTTGTTTGGCCAGTCGCATTCAGGAAGTGAGAGACAGGGGAACCCCTTGTTTTGGTTGCTTCCTGTAAGTCTCCTTGCAATCCAACCCAGGATAGTGTGGGCATAGGCCCCAGGAGCCCAAGACCTCATTGTTTGAGGTCTTTGAGGGCTGAAGGCCCTCATATTGTAGGGTCCAAGGGTCTCCCTAGCGAGGTGTCAAAACCGATTTGGATAGATGAAGGTAAGCACGGGATATTCCGCCTGCCATAAATGGGTACATAATTCCCACAGGTTTGGATTGTAACTCATGTGGGCACAGGTCTCCCTTTTGGGAAAATCGATGGCCCTGGTAGAGTATGAGATCAGCCAGGAATCGCCTTCTATTTTCTACCACAATAACCAAAAAGGACATCTATGCATTTGGGTGTCTTGTTTTTGCGGGCTCCCCCATTTCTGTTGTTGTTTTGAAGGGACACCAGGTTTGCCATTTTGGGGTGTGGGTACGCCTGTTTTCCTTGGTTGGTTTTGCAGGGAAACCCGACAGGAAAACCATTTGGGGGGCACCCCCCCTCTTTGGAGACAACTCCAAATACTCTCATAAACTCTTTCTTTTGAAACCGTAAGGGGCCCAATAACAAGTTAATTCGGCAGTGTGGTCTAGGTTATGGCGAGGCTGTAGGAAGCTGAAAAACTGTTCTAGGAAAACAAAGCCTCAATCAAGGCCCCGATCCGCCCATTTTGGCTTCATCCCCCTTGACAAAGGGAATTGGGCCTTCGTTTTGTGCCACGACTTTCAAGGCCAAGTCTGCTTGAACCCCATAGAAATTGCTCATAAGAAGGCTTGATTTGTAAGGGGGTCCTAGACTAAAATTGATGGTGGGTGGTTGGATGCACCGTTGGAGAGTTGGTGGCTGATTTCCCCCAATAGGCAATCGGGGACGCAGAAATATCTCAAATGATTCCCCAAATCAAAAGTTCAATCTAGTCTAGTCCCAAAGAAACAAATGCCACGTTGGGAGTTCCAAACAAGGAATTTGAGAGATCCTTGGGCAAGAGAACGGAAACCAAGGGCGGGTCTGCGCTGGGATGAACTTAGCCCAGTCAATTGTGATCAATTGCCCCCGATCCCACACCTCAGTTCCGCGAACTTTGCCAACTGTTCAGTATAGAGACAATCCGGATGAAAGGGATCTGCGGGTTTTTGCTTTTTTTTGAAAGCGCTGCGAGCGGTGCTTTTTAAGAATGTTGGAATCTCAACGAATCCCCTTTTGAGGTCCAGATCTTTACTTCCACTTTATGTGTTTCCATTGAAACTGCCACTGTTCATAGTTCCAAATATGTGTATACATATATATATATATATATATATATATATATATATCCGCCGACCCCGCCTAGGAGCGTGCTCAGGCGGGGCGGCGCCTGGGATACCGAAGGTCCCATCGAATGGCCGTAGGTGCGCTAGCTTTCTGCCAGGCTGGTCGGTCGCTGCAATGGTGTTTGCTGCTGCTCTCTCTCTGTCGCCCTGGCCCTGCCTCGGCGGTTCTCGTGCTTGCTGCGAGGCTGTGGCTGCCGGGCTCTGGCTAGTCTGCACTGCGCTTCTTAGTGGTTTTCCCTCCGAGCGTCCCTGTTCGGTCCCTTTTCCGTCGCTTTTTGCACGCCGTGCCACTGCGCTTGGGTCCAGCGGGGGGGCGCCCTGGCTGGCTGCGCCCTGGCCGTGCCTTAGCTGCTCTTGTGCTTGCTGCAGGGCTTTGGCTGCGAGGCCCTGGCGAGTCTTCTTAGTGGGTTTCGAAGGTACCATTAGGCACCCTGCAATTTTTCGGTCCCTTTTTGCACGCCGTGCCACTGCGCTTGGGTCTAGCGGAGGGCGCCTTGGCTGGCTGCGCCCTGGCCGTGCCTTAGCTGCTCTTGTGCTTGCTGCAGGGCTCTGGCTGCGAGGCCCTGGCGAGTCTTCTTAGTGGGTTTCGAAGGTACCGTTAGGCACCCTGCAAGCCTCAATGTTCGGCTCTTTTTCGGTCCCTTTTTGCACGCCGTGCCACTGCGCTTGGGTCTAGCGGAGGGCGCCCTGGCTGGCTGCGCCCTGGCCGTGCCTTAGCTGCTCTTGTGCTTGCTGCAGGGCTTTGGCTGCGAGGCCCTGGCGAGTCTTCTTAGTGGGTTTCGAAGGTACCGTTCGGCACCCTCGAAGCCTCAATTTTCGGCTCTTTTTCGGTCCCTTTTTGCACGCCGTGCCACTGCGCTTGGGTCTAGCGGAGGGCGCCCTTGCTTTGGCTGCGAGGCCCTGGCGAGTCTTCTTAGTGGGTTTCGAAGGTACCGTTAGGCACCCTCCGAGCGTCCCTGTTCGGTCCCTTTTCCGTCGCTGTTTGCACGCCGTGCCACTGCGCTTGGGTCTAGCGGAGGGCGCCTTGGCTGGCTGCGCCCTGGCCGTGCCTTAGCTGCTCTTGTGCTTGCTGCAGGGCTTTGGCTGCGAGGCCCTGGCGAGTCGTCTTAGTGGGTTTCGAAGGTGCCGTTAGGCACCCTGCAAGCCTCAATTTTCGGCTCTTTTTCGGTCCCTTTTTGCACCCCACTGCGCATGGGTCTAGCGGAGGGCGCCCTGGCTGGCTGCGCCCTGGCCGTGCCTTAGCTGCTCTTGTGCTTGCTGCAGGGCTTTGGCTGCCTTTTTCCACGCCGTGCCACTGCGCTTGGGTCTAGCGGAGGGCGCCTTGGCTGGCTGCGCCCTGGCCGTGCCTTAGCTACTCTTGTGCTTGCTGCAGGGCTCTGGCTGCGAGGCCCTGGCGAGTCTTCTTAGTGGGTTTCGAAGGTACCGTTAGGCACCCTGCAAGCCTCAATTCGGCTCTTTTTCGGTCCCTTTTTGCACGCCGTGCCACTGCGCTTGGGTCTAGCGGAGGGCGCCCTGGCTGGCTGCGCCCTGGCCGTGCCTTAGCTGCTCTTGTGCTTGCTGCAGGGCTTTGGCTGCGAGGCCCTGGCGAGTCTTCTTAGTGGGTTTCGAAGGTACCGTTAGGCACCAAGCCTCAATTCTCGGCTCTTTTTCGGTCCCTTTTTGCACGGTCTAGCGGAGGGCGCCTTGGCTGGCTGCGCCCTGGCCGTGCCTTAGCTGCTCTTGTGCTTGCTGCAGGGCTTTGGCTGCGAGGCCCTGGCGAGTCTTCTTAGTGGGTTTCGAAGGTACCGTTAGGCACCCTGGAAGCCTCAATTTTCGGCTCTTTTTCGGTCCCTTTTTGCACGCCGTGCCACTGCGCTTGGGTTCTGGCTGGCTGCGCCCTGGCCTTGTGCTTGCTGCAGGGCTTTGGCTGCGAGGCCCTGGCGAGTCTTCTTAGTGGGTTTCGAAGGTACCGTTAGGCACCCTGCAAGCCTCAATTTTCGGCTCTTTTTCGGTCCCTTTTTCCACGCCGTGCCACTGCGCTTGGGTCTAGCGGAGGGCGCCTGGCTGGCTGCGCCCTGGCCGTGCCTTAGCTGCTCTTGTGCTTGCTGCAGGGCTTTGGCTGCGAGGCCCTGGCGAGTCTTCTTAGTGGGTTTCGAAGGTACCGTTAGGCACCCTGCAAGCCTCAATTTTCGGCTCTTTTTCGGTCCCTTTTTGCACGCCGTGCCACTGCGCTTGGGTCTAGCGGAGGGCGCCCTGGCTGGCTGCGCCCTGGCCGTGCCTTAGCTGCTCTTGTGCTTGCTGCAGGGCTTTGGCTGCGAGGCCCTGGCGAGTCTTCTTAGTGGGTTTCGAAGGTACCGTTAGGCACCCTGCAAGCCTCAATTTTCGGCTCTTTTTCGGTCCCTTTTTCCACGCCGTGCCACTGCGCTTGGGTCTAGCGGAGGGCGCCCTTGCTTTGGCTGCGAGGCCCTGGCGAGTCTTCTTAGTAGGTTTCGAAGGTACCGTTAGGCACCCTCCGAGCGTCCCTGTTCGGTCCCTTTTCCGTCGCTTTTTGCACGCCGTGCCACTGCGCTTGGGTCCAGCGGGGGGGCGCCCTGGCTGGCTGCGCCCTGGCCGTGCCTTAGCTGCTCTTGTGCTTGCTGCAGGGCTTTGGCTGCGAGGCCCTGGCGAGTCGTCTTAGTGGGTTTCGAAGGTACCGTTAGGCACCCTGCAAGCCTCAATTTTCGGCTCTTTTTTGGTCCCTTTTTGCACCCCGTGCCACTGCGCTTGGGTCTAGCGGAGGGCGCCCTGGCTGTGCCTTAGCTGCTCTTGTGCTTGCTGCAGGGCTTTGGCTGCGAGGCCCTGGCGAGTCTTCTTAGTGGGTTTCGAAGGTACCGTTAGGCACCCTGCAAGCCTCAATTTTCGGCTCTTTTTCGGTCCCTTTTCCACGCCGTGCCACTGCGCTTGGGTCTAGCGGAGGGCGCCTTGGCTGGCTGCGCCCTGGCCGTGCCTTAGCTGCTCTTGTGCTTGCTGCAGGGCTTTGGCTGCGAGGCCCTGGCGAGTCTTCTTAGTGGGTTTCGAAGGTACCGTTAGGCACCCTGCAAGCCTCAATTTTCGGCTCTTTTTCGGTCCCTTTTTGCACGCCGTGCCACTGCGCTTGGGTCTAGCGGAGGGCGCCCTGGCTGGCTGCGCCCTGGCCGTGCCTTAGCTGCTCTTGTGACTAACCCATAGCCTATGGGATGATTGCCAGCCCCTGCCCAAAGGAAGGGTCGGCGGCACCTGGGCGCTAGCCCATTCTATATATATATATATATATATATATGTTTTTTTCTTTATTAAAAAAAGGAACAAAAACTGACTCAGGCTGGGGGAATTGGGTCCGGCATGCCAAAGCGAACGCTAAGCCGCCCCGAAGCCGCCCCGGCCCGCCTCGGACCATTCACTACAGAGCTGCTGACCTGCATTTCGCAGGCGCTTAACTCGCCGCTTTAAAGGGAGGCACCTGTGGGGGTTCAATTCCAAAAAACAAACACAAACACGCCCAATTGAAAGTACAGTTCACCAACCCAAATGGAAAGTTCCCGCGAAAATGCTGAGCAGTCATGTCAAAACTCGCAAAACATGTTTCAATCCAACTTCAACAGACACACCGACTGTGGTGTGCTCATCAGTTCTTGGTTCGTTCTGCCAATGGGAACTGCGATGAGCTGAGTAAGAAGCCGAAGGCATCTTGGATAGGATACATGAGGCATGACCACAGAGTGTGTTTCCACATGGAGGCAAACATTGTTGCCTTCCAAAAACAATCTTCCAACGTGGTTTTGTTCAGCCTGATCAGCATGCTCCCAAGAGACAATCCCACAACGCAAAAGCTGAACACCCAGACCCCACCCCATGCTCCCTCCTCCGCTCTGCTTGGGGAAGGTGAATCCCAGAAGGATCTCCCTTGCCAGCTCTTCTAGGCGGGTGAGGTAGGGCTGCGAGTAGAAGAGCCTCGTGAATCTCGCTTTGAAAATCAAGTCGTGCTGTACATTCCACGGAAGTGTTCTGGAAGCGTTCTGGAGTGCTAAAAGGGGTGGACTTGCGCCTCTAACAAGTTGGAGGCTCCAACAGGTTGTCTGGAGACAATCTAGAAGGACAGCAAATGGAATATGCGCCGACAACGGGCAATTGACCTGCAAGAAATGCAGAATTCCTGAGACTGGATTCATCAGAGGTAATTCATTCTACCAAGGCAAAGTCGTTTGACTTGGCTGACTTGGCTGGCATCGCCCATGCCTTTTCTCCTACTGTTGACGTAACATCTATCTGACACAGCGGCACAGCCGCCACACCTCACGCAACAAACATCGACCTGTGAAGGCGACCTGCGTGGATGAATGCTGCCATATGCTGGCCGTCATTGGTTATATGGCTTGCAAACCAATCCTAATCAAGGCATTGCGGTGTTCAAACTTTTCGCAGCATGGGAAGTGATGGCAAATGCATATACTGTAATGCTACTGAATACGCACAACGTTTGCGGTGATGTTTGAAAAGCTATCTCTTGACACGCGACCTGCGAGATATAGATCCGACACGTTCTCTGTGTTATTCACCGATCGATGTTCAATCCTCAGTCAGTTTGATCTCGAATCTGGGTCGCTGATCAAGAATAATCAAAAAGACAATCAAAACGAAAGCAACCACAATCATGGGTGTGTCTTTTTGGGGGGAAATCTCATTTGGGTTGGTTTTCAAGGGGAACGCAAAAGGAAAACAGTCATTTTGGGGGGTCCTCTAAAAAGAAGAGGAGAAACACATTCATCCCCAGCTCGCATAACTTCCCCTTGCACCTTGTGGTGTCATGCGGCTGGCCAGGTCCTTCCAGAGTATGGGCGTGTCTTCTTCGGAGTCGGTATCCTTTTTTGGATGAAAAAGGGAATCCAAAGGGACACCGAAGCTCATTTTCTCAGTCGGGGAACCCCCGTAAACATCTCTCAGTCGGGATTTGCCCTTGAGACATCTGCATCCCACGTCTCAGTCGCAACCGATTCGCTCCACGGATTTGCCAGGAGGCCGATAGGTGGCAACCACCACGTCGGCTTCTGCCAGATCCTTCCTCGATTGGCCGTCTCGGTTCGCTCAAAATTGTGCAACCCCAAACAATTTTGGTATTCTTTTGGCGTCCCTTTAAACCAACCAAAACAGACCCATCTGGATGTTTCCGTAAGGCACCAGTATCTGTGCCAAATGTACCACCACATAAGGTTGCCTGCCTGATTTCGTTGGCTCCATACATGCAAGGTCTGCTTTTCAGTGCAATAAAGTGGTAAGGTCTCACAAGGACAAGGCCTGATGTGGCGTCGGTAGCAATCCTGATACTATCGAGGCAGCCAGCCATTCAGAACCCCAAGCTTAGTCTATGCTGCCTCTTGGAGAATCACCCAACTTGGCCACCTAGCATCTTTTTCGCACTTGGTAGTCCACTTTCATTCAGCGAGTCCATCGGGCTTGAGGTTGCCTGCCAATGCACCGAGGAGCATTGACAGGCGTTTGAGCTGCGCGCAGGTAGGCACGGACAACACGGTGAGGTGGTTTCCCGTGAACCTGGGCAGCAATAAGGATGGCTGGGCAAAGAATAGCTGTCCTGGCCGAAACTCGGGCAAACAATGGAAAGCCGTACGCAAGCAGCCGGCAGTCTACCCAAAACTCACAACTGTGTAAACAATGAAGAGGGACAACCGCACCCATTTATTGCCTGGGACTGTCCCAAGTAACCTTTGCCTGCTTGTGTTGCAATTGTGGCTCAGGGGGGGAACCCATCTTTCCGAGTTGGGGTGAACAGCTCCTTTGGTGGCGGGTAGCCGTTGCTTTGATTGTCAGGCCGATGGTACTCCACCTGAACCTGCGGGAATCCGTGCATGCGTGAGTTCTGCTGAAAAGAGTGACACAGAGGAAGTGTTAGGCTTCCGGGACTAGCTGAATGAGCACGAGAGCGCAGGAACTCAACTCCCTGTACTTTGCCCGACAGAAGACGTGAAACCTGGCGAGCTCTGCAAGCCGCCTTCATTGCAGGTTGCATCTTAATGGGTCTGGAGACGCATGGCGTGCTTCGAGGCAACACAATGACAGTTGTCTTGGCTCGTGCTCAGTAGGGCATGACCGAGACCGGGTGTCAGGAATGAACCGGAAAGGGATTCCCTTAAGGGAAACCAAATTGGGGGAGTGTTTCTCGGGGTCATTCCAACTCTCATTCCCTGAGAACCAGCAGGGACGTTCATCAATTTTCCAAACATGTTGTCCACACCTCCTAGTTGCATGCTCTCAGAGCTCCGCTCAGGCTATCCGTCTGTAGAATGCATGCACCATCCACCCAAAGTTGCTTCAGTCGGGCTAGGAGCCTTGGACCTCATTTGAGGCCTTTGAGGGTTGACCACTGTTCCTTTGTTGCCCCCTTTGAACTCCCAAAGAAAGCTCCCTCTTTCATTGGCAAACGGGGGATGCTTGATGTGAGCCCCAGATTTTCGCAAACTAGTTTTATTCCTAGAAGGGTGCTCCCCTCAAGCGATGAATCCCCACTACAAGAGGACACATTCCTATGAATCCCAAACAAAAAGTGGGCTTACTATTTTCCCGGGCTCAAAACTAAACATCACACCCTTTCCACAAAACTGGTTTTATTATTCCAGGGTCAACCCTCAACATCACCTTCAGGCCTTTGACCAGGCCTTTGACCTATCGACGTTTTGAGGCTGGCAGCTTCTTGATCTCCTGCAGCCACTGGTTGTGCAAGTTGCTGGGGGCGAGCACCAGGGTGGCCCGGCTGGGCACGAAGCCTCACGATGAAAAGCTGCTGCGAGAGAGATGCAGCTAGGTCCTCCAGATTTGAGAGGGTAGAATAAGGGTACCCATTCTTGTTTCTGTAGTCTATAGTAGGGGAAACCTGCCAACCAAACAAGGGCAAAAGGGCACTACTGAATAAACCTAGGCAGGGAATGAGAAATGGAGCCGACCCCGCGAGAGAAACCATCCGATTTGGTTTTCTTTATTCGGGAATCTGTTTCCGGTTCATTCCAAGTCTCATTATTCCCTACCTATCGCACCAGCAAGACAAGCGCCCCATTTTTTTGTGGTCACCCGTCTGATTTCAACGACACCCTGCCTCAGGCTAACATGGAAGCTGTTAATTCGGACCCGTTTTCAAAGGGCTTTTTAACTGGTGGCTGTCTGGGGAAGGGGTGTGCAAGAAGGGCCTAGTTCAAATAAAATAAATAAGAACAGTGCACCTATGCGGGAACAAAAGCATTTGTAGGACACGATTTTCGGCCCCAGGCTTGACTTTCATGACAACATGGCCTCGCAACTTCCATGAATCACCAGTTTGAACAAGGGCTGTCTATGAAAGTAGCAATTCCCTTGACTGACGCAAAGTTTGGGCTGCATGCATTGCCATAGATTCTGCAATCCTAAGCAATAGATTGCCATCCACTCCAGGCTGGGCTGCAACAGAACAAAAAGCCTCTCAGCTCCAATGGCCACAAAACTCTTGAAGAGTATTGCTCTGTCTCAGAATGAATGCACAAGCAATGATTGGTTTGAGTGCTAATTGCAGCAGAGCTAACAACTCACTGCCTGAGTGGATGTGCCAAAAATAAAAGAAGTCCAAACGTATTCTTTCCCCCTAAAAAGGGACTAAAGTCCAAAGGAACCCAGGGAGTGAGACAAACACCAAGCAAAGGGCCTTGTCACTTCTTGTTCCAACGAAACATGCGGATGCGGAGAGGCATGTGCCCATCCGGGGGAGTGTGCACTATGAGCCAATGGGTCAAAGGGCCAACCTTCATACCCCACATGGACATACCCCACCTGTAGGCCTTCTGTAGAACGATCTTGCGGGTATGTGCGCACTGCAAAACCCATGTATAACCACTCACTTTGGGGGTAAGTCCATTAGGGGTATACAAGTTGGTCCTTAGATGCTGCCGTGCCCCAGCAAGGCCTCTGTAGGGCATTGGCACCCGCGGCATAGTCAGCTCCTACAAAGCTTTGCGCAATCAGAGCTGGTGGCAGCCAAAGGCACTGTGTGACGATGACTTTTCGGTTGGAACACCCGCAGCAAATGCAGGGTGGACATAACTCCCCATGCACATGTCCAGCAAAAGGGTCAATCAAACTTCATACCCATTCATTGTGGATGCGAAAGCCCATTCAAACTGCCCATTCAATGCGACGATGAGGGGACTCCATTTCCAAGCCTCTTTCCAAGACAGACCAAGGTGCAAGCCCTCGCAGACTGGCGAGACACACGAAAAGAGACGGCCAGAATGCAAAGATAGGCTTTGGGAAACACATATCCATGAAATCCGTGGTGGTTTCTCCACCTTTATGGTTCTTGCTGAGTGGTTCCCCCCCCTAATCAACAATCAAATCAACCTTTCCGGAGAGTTACTGGAAATGCACCCTTTTGTTTAAAGGAAAACCAAAGGAAAACCCCACCTTTTTTATTTACCGGCTCCAAAGACACACTATGCTGGAACCACCCGCAGACCCTGCGTTCGGCCAAAGACCAAGCAGAGCCAATCGGCTCCTTGGTTTTGTCCACGAGGCCGATGGTACACGCGGTCTTCCCATACCCGATGGCGTCCGCCAGCACGCCACCCCGCACACCGAGGTATTCACAACGAAGGCTGCCTGTATGGCGTCCCACAGCGCGCCCCCCACATGGGTCTAGTTGTTTTTGGGGGTACCTATGGTACCTCCTTTCTTGGGATTGAAAGGTACCAGTTTTTTAAGGTGCCTGCTGTTTTTTGGGTTTAACGGGAAATCAAGAGGAAAACCAATGCCATGTTGGGGTTCAGTTACAAACGGAAAATACCGTCTAGCCAAATTACAAAATAGCCATCGGAAAGTTTGCGCACTGGTAAGGGAACATACTGGCCTAAATGCAGTCACGCAAAACTCAACACATTGAGGATGGCCAGAAGCAAGCCAATGGCATGAGGGTGGTTCTGAGAAAAGATGCAATCTGGCATCAGCCATGTACAGCTCAGCACACAGACATACATGTTCAGCAACGGTTGCAACAAGTTGAGGAGGCGCAAACAAACACGCGCTCAGAATAGAATCAATTCTACACAAAAGTGAGGGTCCTTCACGTAGAGACGGACACCCTTCTTTCCGGCCACAACTGGTGAACAAGCCAGCCGTAGTAGCAGAAGAGCTGAGCCTTGTGACAAGTCATAAAACTATCAACATTTAAGTGCCTGGTAGGCTGATGAAATATGCTAAAATGATGAAGACACATGGGCGTGTCTTCAGGGTCCCTTTTGGGTGTTGGCTTAAAAGGAAAGGGAAGCCACTGATTTTGGGGGCCCTCAAAAAAAGACAAACCCGCATGGCTGCACCAACTCACTTCCTGAGTGGATGTGCCAAAACAAGTCCAAGCTTTTTGCTTACCACCACAATGGTCCAAGCCCCAAAAGTGACTGAAATCCAGTGACCCAAACAAAACACCATGGGACACCGAGCTCGGTCGGGGAAGCACCGAAGCCCCCCCCCCGGCACCTTCGAGGCGCCAGTGGTTGGCGTCGGGGCAACTCTCGGCCTCACAGAGCTCCGTGGCAAAGGCCTCTTTCTCCTGCCGCTCCTCAGTTCGATCTCCGGGCGGCTCGGGCCGCATGGCCGCAAGTCCCGAGTCGGTGGCCTTTGGACTGAAAACCAATTTAGGTTTCCCTGGGATTTGGATGGATGGCATAAAAACCCATCGAAACCAGCGGAACCCATCTATCTTTTAGCAAGCCAACCCATCCAAAGGACACCTATGTCTCCGGATCTCATCCGTTCGCACCACGGTTCATGAAACCATGAAATTGAAACCAGAAGGTTGGAGTTCGTAGCTGTGTTGGGGACAGAAACCAGGGTTTCTGAAATCTGAAAGGTGGTGCGAAATGGATATCGTCCATTCACAGTATCAGTCAGCCAGCCAGCCGGGCAGGAAGGCAGGCAGCCAGTGAGTGCATTAGTGTTTTGGTTGAACCTGGAGAAATTGAACAATCTGTTTGGCGGAAAGCTTTGACATGGCCAAACGTCTTTTTGCTACCCTTTCCGAACTTGGCTGCTTTGAAGTTGGAGATGAAAGGGAAACCGAGGCCCATTCTACATTCTGAGCTTCAACTCAATTGACAGCGGTCAAAGTATCTCCCAAAGTTGCAATTGACTGTTGGGTGTCCATTGAAACTGCCCCTTTGGGAGGTTCCAAAAATGGGAAATCGGAGGACCCCTACAAATTAACGGAAGGAACCCAAAAGAGAACTGTCCATGTCCCAAAACTACCACTTTAGACATGGAGGAAACCTGAGAAAACCTAGGTCCTCCAGTAGAGAGGTTAGAATAAGTATAAGGGTACCCTTTTGCTGTAGTCTATTTTAGCAGGGGAACCGAACCCTCCCCCAAAAAAGGGAACAAGGGCACTGGGGGACCTAGAAACCCTGTCTCCCCGCCTGGGAAACCGTTTCGACCGACCCCAACTCGTCCTGCGACAGCATCCACCCCAAGCTCCGCAGCTGTTCGCGCCGCAGCGGGAAGCTGTGGAAGTGCGGGGGCTGCGTGGTGGCCGCATCCTGCCGGACGAAAACGAGCAATCTCGACTGAAACCTGGAGAGGGTTTCCTCCATTGCCCTTTTTGGAACCTCCAAAAATGGCGGTTTCAATGGAACTCACCAAGGCTTTTCTACAAGAAACATGGGGAGGGACCAATTTTGTGGTTGCCGTGGGGGGGGGGGAACTGGCAGCCAACTCTTTTTGTACGGCCCCCCTTTTTTCAGCTGTCCAAACAATGTCTTGGAGGCTGTGCCCAAAGGGGTCCAAGTGGGTCTGTAATTTTTTGAGGGCCCCCTCAAAATGGTGGTGTTCCCGTTAGTTTCCCGTTGAACCAACCCAAAAAAAGGTACAAGTACTCCATAACTTGTCACCTGCAAGCCTGCCAATGTCTCCAAATCCGCAAGCTTTCTTTGGTAAGCGACCCTTTGGAAAACGGCTCAGGGAACTTTTTGGGAGCCAGCTGCTCGCGTCCTCCAAGTTGCTCAGAATGGAGAACTCCCCCATTGTCGCTGCATGACGCTCGTCCGCCTGAGGTCTGTGAACAAACGATGCCCTGCTGTCCACCAGCGACCCTGACGTGTCGGGGTCCTGAAGACTAGTTTCCTTTGGAAGGGACCCCCTGGTGGGTTCCATGTTAGCGGACAGGAGGTCAAGCAACGCAACACACACACACACATTGTAAATGCAAACAAGGGTGTTTCCATCGAACACACTGCGGGTGGAAGCATATGTAGCATATCTCACCGGTCGGTGACTATGTATCGGTAGCATATTTGCGCCATCTGCAAAATGACTCTGAGGCCAACTGCTTTGTGTCCTGCACGAACATGCAAAGCAATGCCCTCAACAACTCTGTAAACATGAACTGACCACCGCTGCTCTCCTTTTTTTCCCGGTTGCAACACCTCAGCAAAATACCGGTTGGCCCCCAATCGGGTTTGCGTCGCAGGCGATGTCAGGCCCATTTAAAGGGCTGGGTTCATTTTCCCCTGAAACATCATCCAAACGGATCTCCAAACACCATCAAGCACCATCAAGCACCATCAAACGCCATCAAACTCGCAAACAATGACACCAACACCATCCAAAAGGGAGCTTCAATAGGGCCGCCATGCAAATACTGACATGGAAAAAAACATGCAAACAAAGGGAGTCTTCATCTGTTTGTCTCCTTTTCTGGTGGAGGTTCTCCAATGAGTTCATCCAACACCATTCAACAAAAAAACTGATTTTTCCCTCCTTTTGGGTGGGGGTTCCCGAACGCTGTCATCTGGGGAGACCCGGCCCTCTGCACCGTGGTGTCCCGCAGGCGCCAGGTGAAGCGCACGACCGGCAGCGCGGCGCCCCGGCGCAGCATGCGCTGCAGCAGCGCCCCTGGCGCTCGCCCGGTTTGGGCGCGCCAAAGCGAGCTGCTGGCGAGCTGTTTCTCCCTTAAAGCAACCCCCCCCCAAAAAAAGCCTCCAAAATGACACCCCAAGTTATGTAAAACTTGCTGGTGCAAAATCGGGGAGGGAATGAGAATGGAATGAACCTCCTCCCGAGGAAACCATCAGTTGGATCGTTGATAGGGAATGACCCACACATTCCCTGCCTATCGCGCCAGCAAGTTATGCATAGTCGTGTGGGCTTGTTTTGGTTGGATCCAAAGCGGCCTATGTTCTTACATGAATTGAGGAGTTGGGTTTGCGCCAAACTTAAGAGCCCGACGAACTCTTGATCTACAACGTGCGAGGCTTAACTGTTTGCAGGTGCCGAGTTTCAAGAACAATCTTTCTCTACCTCTACTCCCAAAGCCTTGTCTAGATCGACATGCTAACCCTAAGGTCGCTGAGTCCTATTTTCTGCGAGACCTTTCGGGATTCTCGTTTTACAGGGATGTGCAACAAGCCATCTTGGCCGGGGTGCTCTTTTGTGCGTGATCTGTTTTCTAAATTGATCCACAAGCAAAAAATGGCCTTGAGTCAGTCTAATGGTCGAAATTCCTGGAGAATGAAAACGGCTTCATTGCCGCTTTCATCCGCTTTCATTTCTGGTTGGCCCCCTGACCTTCAATGACTCCCGCAAGTTCTCATCTCGTCTTGGGTCCTTGCACCCCCTTTTCGGTTCCTTCCTTTGGCCATGATACATGATATACTTATTCTTGCCGCCAGGGTTGCTGTTCAAGTTGGGGAACCATACTGTGGATGGTTACGAAATCCAATTCGCACCACCGTTCAGAAACCCTGGAATGATTCGATTCCCCTGAAAACAGCAACAAACAATGGTTTCAACCATGGCTTCAAAGAGGTGCGAAATGGATTTCGCAACCAGCTACAGTAGGAGCCAGAGGGGAAAATTGGGGGACGGCAGTTTTAGCTGTTGAATGCTTGCGCCTGGCCGCACCAGCACTCGCAGCTGGTCTTGGCCAGGATGCACCTGCAGGATCCAGGGCTCCTGCAGGATCCGTGCGATTGGGGAAGTAGTGTCGAGGGAACATCCAGGAAGAGGGCCTGCTACAGGTTGCAAAGTTGAGCCGTGTCCACCATACTGCGGGGGGCATTTCAATTTCCACAAGAAACCTCTGAACAGGGTGGCTGCCCATTAAATAAATTCCCTTGCAAATGACCCAGCTTCAGCATTTTGGACCTACGGCCTTTGGGGCAAGAAAGGAAGAAAGAAACAAAGAAGAACAGGAAGCTACCATAACTATAACCATCCATGTTCCCTTCTCGCGATATTCAGGGAATCCAGCCTATACTAACAATTTCTTCACAACCCATACCAAACCTACGCCACCTCAGAAGATAACTACTGCATATCCAACCACAGCCCCCGGTCCCAGGTTCCTCACGAAGGGGCTGAGAATCGGAGAATCTTTATTTGTCCAGTGAAACAAAGTATAATATAACTTCCCAGAGACTCCCTTCTAACCCAACTTGCGTTCTTCCAAAAAAGGTCCCACAAAGGACACCCACTTTCTTTGGAAGAGGAGCAAAGCGGACGCTCTTTTGGACACAACCTAATGTTCACGCCTGGTAGATGAGCAAACAGGCTGTGCCATGCAAAAACCATCTCTGTCCGGGGAAAATCCTACCATCCTGGAGATTCTCTTGAAAAGGGGTCCTGCGACAAATACGTAGAGCACAGTGGGAGGGACCTGGAACGGTCTCTCGCGATTTCCCACTGTGCTTTACAGGAGCCGAAGGCACATGTGCCATGATCAAACAACTGCTTAGGCCATGATCAAACAACTGCTTAGGCCATGGTCATATAGTTCCCTGACAAAAAATATGTTGGTTGTCCCTTGTAAAGGGATTAATGACAATCCTTACCAACCCCGAGCAAATGGATCTTCTGACCCGTGGCATGTCACGATGCTTATGTATTAGAACGTGACCAGCTGCGAACAGCCCAGCAACCCTTGGTGAAGCTGACGGCAATTCTGACTTATGTAGATCCGGAATAATAAACCCGTCCTGTGTTGGGGGGTGGGGCCCCTTGAGGGATGATTCCCCCCACACCCAGCAAACGCCCGTATGATTCAAGCAGGGGGGTGACGATTATTGCATTTTGCGCCGAATCCAAAGTCCCCCAGCTTTTTCTGAGGAAGTTTTTTCTGGGGTGCATCACGTCACTCCTGGTTCTCCACCTTCAGCATATCCCCCGAGCGCAGCATTGGCAGCTGCCACTCCTGCAAGGCCTCAGGCACCTGCCGACAGGTCGGGCACCGCTCGTCTAACCCGCGCAAGAAAGCCAACCAAAAGCCATGTGGAATGAACCCACAAAGGCCCCCTCCCCCCACCCTTCCAAAAAAAGAAAAAGCGTCGTGGAACCCAAAACGGGGGTGGAAGCAAGGAGATTCCGTGCGCCGGCGTTTTGGGGCGCGTGCTTCGACCGATCGCCCCGCCCCCTCACTTCCCCGGGCCTGCAGGAAGCGCTCCGGCGCCAAAGCCTCGAAGACGGAGTTCTCGTGGCGCCGGGAGGTGAAGAGGCACCGGGTCCTCGAGTCGAATTCGATCGGTGAGTGAGTCGAATCGTCGCTCTCACACCCGGAACGCGTTCCAACACAAAGGGGTGAAAGGGGAAACAGCCTACAGGTGGATGGCCTATAGTTCGAGCAATCGCCCCCAAAAGGAAACTCACTCTCAAATCATTTCTGAAGCCACTTTCCTTGGCGCTGCCGTTGCCTTCATCCTTTTGTTGCGCTTGTCTGACCCGTCGGAGGTGTGCAGTTCATGGTGGGCCGCTCGCGCAAATGGAAAGGGCATCCAGTCATGGCAGAAAGCAATAAAGACTTGACCTTCATTTGCGCTTTTGATCGCTTTTGGCGCCCACTAACATACCACGACATCTGTATTTGCAAGTCAAGACAACTTCTTCCCAAGCCAATATCGGACATCACAATGATTAAGGCATCCCTTGAAGGTACGGTACTCTGCCCGAGGGAAGAAAGAATCTATGGGTCAAGCAATATCAAGCAGTTGTTGTAAGGTGTCTGGTCGAACCATGCCGAGACGCCAAGCAACTCTCAACATGCTTGCTAGAAACCAACATACGCAGGCAACATGCCAAGCACTGTTGGCCCACTGTTGAAATGTTCCAACTTGCTGGCGCGGAGGGAGTTCGGGGTTTCGGGAATGAACCTAGGGATTGCCTGACAGGAAACCAAATCCTCATTCCCTTCTGAGGACCAGCAAGTACAATCTCGGTTGCGTTCTGCTCCTCTGCTAAAAGTTTAACGTTTAGTGGTTTAATGGAAAACCCATTAGTTGGCAAAAAGTTAAAGTCCTAGCATCCAAGCAAAATGCACCAAAGCAATTATGGGTGCTTCATGGCTGTTTCTAACCCATCTGGTGGGGACACAGTCTGTCTGAGCCAGCTCTGCCGGGCTGCCCAAGGGCAGTGGTGTTGCCGGTGATGTCCAGCCACGTGGCCGGCAACTTCTGGAAGATGGCCTGCGAGGAATTGGGATGTCCAGCTGGAGGTTAAGGTGGGTGAAAGGTTTGAGTGGTCCACACAACAACTTAAGGGGTCAAACAAAAGTCGTGAGATAGGTATGGAAGAGAAGTAAGGAAGTAGGCTGGTAAGTTACGAAAGTGGATCAAAGATTTCAGGGGTCAACCAAGTCGTGAGAAAAGTACCGGAGAAGTGCTTCAATGTCTGATCCGGTGTGAACGCCTGTCAAAAAGGGATTCGGTATGTCCTGTCTCTCATGGGGTGCAGCCCCTGGGTATACCCTCGCCAAGTCCATGCAAAACCCTCCCCCAAAAACAATAATATTAAGATGCACAGACAAAAACACATGGGTGTGTCTTTTTGAGGGAACTTTTTTGCGGGTTTAAAGAGAAACCAAGAGGGAAAACCACCATTTGGGAGGGGGTCCCCAAAAGACTCGCCCACATCCATGGGAAAGTGACCCGGGAGAGAAGTGTTGGAAGGACTGGGGTGCCGACTCAGACGTGAGCAAGAAATACCATCCACGGCATCTTGTGGCACCCACCCCTCCCCGCCCAAAAAAAAAGGAAACCAACCATTGAAACACACAATCACCAAACACGATTTCCGAAACGGTCTCCTTTTGGTTTCCCTTTCCTGTTCAAACAAAAAGAACAGGCTCAAGGGTACCTTTGAACCCCCAAAATCCAGAAGGCCTTGTTTAGCCTCAAAACACAAGAACCACACCCACCAGCAACCAAACCCAGGGTATGTCTTGTTGAGGTATACCCTTCTTTATTATGGTTTCTAAGGGAAACCAACAAAAGGAAACGGGAAAGCCCCCCCGCTGTTTTTGCGCCACACACCAAGCCCACCCGACCGACCGGCCAGCCGTGCGCGCCTTGCCGGAGTTCTGCAGCGGCAGCCGCGCCGTGAGCACCGGCACCAGCTCCAGGCCCTGCAAATTCACCGGCGCGGTGTGCACCTGCAGCTCCTCAGCGAGAGAGAGACGTAGGAGTGGAGTGGAGAGGTGGGGGGGGCCCAAACAAGGAACCGTTAACTGGGGTTGTTGGCCGCTAAAAAGGGCTTCAACCTTCGGAAAGTGACTTTAAGTCGAACTTAGAAAGAGTGAGTAGGAGGAGTTTGGCTTGGATTGGACTTGCGTAGATTGGTATTTGTGGGTTTGCTTTCAATTGTTGTAAAGTGGCTTTCCATGAGAGAAAAAAACACAGCAACTTAAATCTCACCTACAAACCCACTCCTCTTTCCCTATCATGTCACTCTTCTCTTCGTCATTATCTCCTTTCTCTTTCCCCTTCCCTTTGGTCGTGTATAGAGGAGATAATGGAGAAGAGATATATCCCGGCTTTTATTATTTCCCTTTATTGCCGGGTCTATCTTCTCTTAGACGTGTCTTCACTAACTAATTCTCTGGACACGTCATCATGAATATTGGTCAGCCGGCGGCTGGCATGTCCTTTCTCCGTTCCATCGGTTAACCTCTGTCTCTAGGACATGACCAATAGACCGAAGGGAGATAGGGAATGAACGAAGAGACCCACCGGCTGGACAGGGAAAGCCGGGAGAAAGAGAATTAGAATGAAGAATCCAGATGACACGAAGGAATGGATTCTGAAGCTATTTCTCTTTTATCATTCCTTTATCTCTCCGCGGCTTTCACTAACTAACTAACTGCCGCGGGTCATCTCTTCCCTGGTCACCTCCTGATTGGAGGTTTGGATCGGTTTATTGTGTCACTCACCTGGAGCTAGCAGTTGAGATTGGAGTTGTGCCCAAAGAGATCCAGCGAGATTCGAACCGAAGCCGTGGTTTACTAAACAGCCTGGAACCAGCGAAATTTAAACCCTAAATATGAGGGCCTTTGACCACCAAAGGCCTCAAATAATGAGGTCCAAGGGGCTCCTAGGGAAAGAGCAAGGGTTTTAGGGCGTTCGGAACGGACGATTGTTATTTTGGAGCCCCCCAGCTCAAAGTGAGATGACCTGGCTGTGGCTCAAAAACATGGTACCAAAATGGCACCTTGGCAAATGGAACCAAAGACCAACACCTGCGTAACCCTAGCTCTTTAATTTTGAGCCACACCCACCTGTATGCATTACAAGCCAATCCCTACCGCCTGACCAGGCTCCGGAGCTCCCTGAGCTTCCGACGAGGCGGTTCGGGTCATCCACGGCAGACAGGCCCGTGTCCGGAACCTGCCGAAGTCCATCCCTACGCAGGTGGTTTGGAAAAATCGATGGCCCTGGTGAATGGAATAAATCCCATCCAAACCAGTGCCATCATGTTTTAACCAAACCAAGCTAAAAAAAAGACGCCTATGCACACAAAAAACCACTTCGCACCAGTTGGTAGGTCGTTTATCCCATTGTTTATAGGGCTTCATCCATCCCAGCTGGTGCAGGAATTTGTCCATCCACAGAACCCCTTGGACCCCAAAAACATGAGTTCCTTTGACCCCCTTTTGGCTCCTGGGTCTTCGGCGCCTAGGTCGAAGCTCGTGCCGCCCAGTCACCCCAACCTATACAAAACATACTGTGGATGGAGGAAATCCTGCACCACTTTGAAACCATGAAAAAACATTGTTTGTTGGTATTTCCAGGGGAATTATCATTCCAGGGTTTCTTGGGTGGTGCAGGACTTCGTCCATCCACAGTATTGTTTACCATTCACAGGAGGCATCGTTGCGTTGTCTTTGCTCAAACGGCCGAAATATGCGCAAATCCTGGCCTCTTGCAGACTGCTGACCTTCAGGTTGAAGCAGCTCCTGAGCATAGGTACTGGCTGCTCTCCTTTAAGGTAAAATATGGGGGAATCAGAAAAGGAAGCAAAGGCCACCAGAGTTGGGACCAGTCAACCCATCAAAAGACATGACATCTAGCAAGGTGGCCTTAAGCTTCAGCTGGGTGAACGGACAGACTCTTCAGGAGTCCCAGCCAAAATCATCTGCCCTACGGGACGGTTTTTGGGCCCTAACTGGTTGTTTTCAAGGGCCTCTGAGAAAAATCGGGGTTCTCTATTGGAGCATTGGAGGGGTCATGACCCTTAGGGTGGAGCATGGTGGAGCAAGACTCTCAGGCGCATCCAAGACGATTTCCTGAAGAAACGCAGACTTGACATGCTTTGCATGCGTGGAAAGGTCGCATGTTTTATGTTTCACATTGACATCCCATTGAAACTTCGATCAAACCCGTAGCCTAAAGGGCCTGGAAAATCAGTGTCAGCCGTTCGAAGTGATGATAAACAACTCGCAGGTTTCAAGCTTGTCTTCGGACGAGTAAGGCAGCTCTCTTCAGAAACCCCCAGAAACTGCAAACACCAACTCTTGGAAGAATCGCCCAACTTTTGGTTTGCCGCGAACTGTTGGGATTTGGTTCAGGACGTGCAGCCGGGTTTCGCTGCCAAGGGTTGTTGCCCGGCTCGCGCTGGGCTGGGCAACGGCAGCTTGGGTGGCCTGCGGACACCCGGGTCTGAGGCAAAGGATTCGTGGTCTCCCAGATCAACCCTGCTCCCTTTGGCTTTAGGCTGGTTCCCTTGGTTGCCTAGTGTAGTCCAAGAAACAAATCCTGGGGTATCTGGTTGGACCCCAATGGCTTCGGTTTTGCTTTTGGTTCCCTGTAAAATGACACCAAGCCCTCAAAACAAGACATACCCATATAGGAGACCCTCAACATAGAAGCAAACTTGGAATCGTGGACCACTCACTTGCCCAAGTTTCAAAGGGCTTGACGCAAACGGCTCATCTTTCAAGACCAAGGAACGCCCAAAGCTTCAAAGATCGGCTTTTTGCAACACGAAAGCATGGGGCTTGATCTCAAAAGCGCCAGAATTCCCCCCAACAAAAGGCGACAGGTTCTGGTTCTTTTGGCTTCCCTTCCCAGAACCCTCGCTTGCATCTCAAACGTCATACCTACCCCACTACGCCCTAGACTAACATAGAACCCAACAGCCCACCATTTATAAAAGGCTTCTCCTTTTGCGGGACTCCTTTTTTGGGTTCCATGTTGATTGGCAGGGAAGTATCCACCCCTTGTTCTCCAACTGAAACAAGCAGCACCCAACTTCGCGGTACAACTTCAGAGTTGAACTGCCCAAAGTCACGAACCTTTGAGACTTTGATCTCTACATGCTGGAGAATTCGACACACACGGTTGCAACACATCGAATCAGAAGGTCAAAGAGTCAGTCAGTAGCAATGCCTGGCTAGACACGCCCTTGACAACTTGATCATGAGTATTGCCAGTATCCCGTCAATCGTCGCCAAGGACGGTCACACACGAACACACAGTTAAACAACGAGCACTCAAGCGTACTAAACAAGAACAAACCAGACACAGTACACCAACGCAAGACATACTGTAGCATAATTGAAAAAGGACAAGAACAAAGCGAACAAGAGAAAATCAAAACACTCAACACAACACACACACACAACAAAAAAACACTACAACGCCAAAGAACGACAGAATACACTTGCATATAGAGAAACGTTTGACAGAACACACTGATTATTGTTTTCGAAAAACAAACACATCACTACCCACCACAATAAACACAAACAACACAAACAGCACCTGGCATCCTGGGTCCTGCCGAGGTGCGTCAGGGACTTGCCTGCATCGAACATCTTCTTGAGGTCGTGGCAATGGACCCTCTTGCGGGCGCGCTTCCTGGGGGAGGGGGGGGTAGGCCCCGCGCAACGCGTCTGCCTGTGACTCATCTCTCAACGGGTGCATGTTGGGCACTTTTTGCAGCCCCACGGAAGCAAACGGCAGTTTACAAGAAACAAACAACCCGTCATACAGTCTACTCCAAACGGGGGAGAATTGGGACCATGAATGGAATGCCGGTGGTACAAAGCGTGGGGGCCTTCCCCCCTTCCCCGTTGGCGGCTTGCCTTTCCATGCATTGCTTAGGTGGGGATGACTGACCCCTGCATTGCAGGCGAGACACTTTGCCTTGCCCTCCTCGCCCTCAACCATGTCCACATCAGCATTCTCCTCCTCCCGCAACGACACGAGTGTGCAAAGGTACAGGATGGTACAGGGATGAAATCTGATTAATTATGAAGTCCACTATGTTCAGACGAAACCATATATGTTCCAGGCCAGGCAGGGTTTATGCGCAACTGTTCCAGGATTGAGGGCCATGCCAATAAATTGACGCTGGTCGGTACTCTAAAGTGTAATCTTTATTCCGAATAATTTTGGTACACATGCAGCACCCATGACAACGGCGTTGCAAAGCATGAGACTGACTGCAATAGCAATCCTACGGCACTGAGTCCACATGAACAGCCGTTCCAAAGGCTATGATGACATGTACATGTGGACAGAATGACATCATCACGAAAAACAATGATAGTCCACTGACTCAAAGCTGAACGGCCCAAACCATAGTGTTGTTTCAGCACACAGCGGAAGGGTCAAGTCTCTTTGGGTCTGGTACCAGGTCCAAGCACATCAGATCAGCCAATGTGTTGATGTCACCTAACTGTCGCCAAGACGTGAGGAACAGGGCGAGTGTTAAATAACACTCACCATCCTTGACTTAAAGTCCGAAGTTATCCGCCGACATTGCTCGGCGTGTCGGATACTTACTAGAGGATAGAGGATAACCCCCCCCCTAACCCCCCCCCGCCCGACGTCTATTACGTAGGTTTTTGGGGGGGGGGGGGGTCCCCCACGTACCGCGCGGCAATTTGATGACGTTCCACTAAACGTAGTCTTCGGGGAGCCGGTGTCGCAAAACAGGGGTCCCAGGCTCGATTCCCCCTGCCGGCTTTTTTGCTGGCTTGGGCTTCCTGCATCCTTTTGCCGAAAATCTGGAAAAACTCAATGTTTTTGGACGTCCTCTTTGCGAAAACGCTGGAAAAACCGTGTTTTTTTTGCGGGAAATACTGGGGAGCAAAGGGGAAGTGCAAGGATACATACATACATACATACATACATTACAGTACATTACATTACATTACATTACATGACATTACATGACATTACATACATACATACATTACATACATACATACATGCACATGTATGTATGCATGCATGCATGCACACATACATACATACGTACATACATTACACATTACACTTACTTACTTACTTACTTACTTACTTACTTACTTACTTACTTACTTACTTACTTATACTTACTTACACTACATACATACACATACATACATACATACATACATACACATACATACATACATACATACATACATACATACATACATACATACATACATACATACATACATACATACATACATACATACATACATACATACATACATACATACATACATACATACATACATACATACATACATACATACATACATACATACATACATACATACATTACATACATACATACACATACATACATACATATACATACATACATACATGCATACATACATACATACATACACATACATACATACATACATACATACATACATACATACATACATACATACATACATACATACATACATACATACATACATACATACATACATACATACATACATACATACATACATACATACATACATACATACATACATACATACATACATACATACATACATACATACATACATACATACATTACATACATACATACATACATACATACATACATACATACATACATACATACATACATACATACATACATACATACATACATACATACATACATACATACATACATACATACATACATACATACATACATACATACATACATACATACATACATACATACATACATACATACATACATACATACATACATACATACATTACATACATACATACATACATACATACATACATACATACATACATACATACATACATACATACATACATACATACATACATACATACATACATACATACATACATACATACATACATACATACATACATACATACATACATACATACATACATACATACATACATACATACATACATACATACATACATACATACATACATACATACATACATACATACATACATACATACATACATACATACATACATTACATACATACATACATACATACATACATACATACATACATACATACATACATACATACATACATACATACATTACATACATACATACATACATACATACATACATACATACATACATACATACATACATACATACATACATACATTACATACATACATACATACATACATACATACATACATACATACATACATACATACATACATACATACATACATACATACATACATACATACATACATACATACATACATACATACATACATACATACATACATACATACATACATACATACATACATACATACACATACATACATACATACATACATACATACATACATACATACATACATACATACATACATACATACATACATACATACATACATACATATACATACATACATACATTACATACATACATACATACATTACATACATATACATACATACACATACATACATACATACATACTTATACTTATACATACATACATACATACATACATACATACATACATACATACATACATACATACATACATACATACATACATACATACATACATACATACATTACATACATACATACATACATACATACATACATACATACATACATACATACATACATACATACATACATACATACATACATACATACATACATACATACATACATACATTACATACATACATACATACATACATACATACATACATACATACATACATACATACATACATACATACATACATACATACATACATACATACATACATACATACATACATACATACATACATACATACATACATACATACATACATACATACATACATACATACATACATACATACATACATACATACATACATACATACATACATACATACATTACATACATACATACATACATACATACATACATACATACATACATACATACATACATACATACATACATACATACATACATACATACATACATACATACATACATACACATACATACATACATACATACATACATACATACATACATACATACATACATACATACATACATACATACATACATACATACATACATACATACATACATACATACATACATACATACATACATACATACATACATACATACATACATACATACATACATACATACATACATACATACATACATACATACATACATACATACATACATACATACATACATACATACATACATACATACATACATACATACATACATACATACATACATACATACATACATACATACATACATACATACATACATACATACATACATACATACATACATACATACATACATACATACATACATACATACATACATACATACATACATACATACATACATACATACATACATACATACATACATACATACATACATACATACATACATACATACATACATACATACATACATACATACATACATACATACATACATACATACATACATACATACATACATACATACATACATACACATACATACATACATTACATTACATTACATTACATTACATTACATTACATTACATTACATTACATTACATTACATACATACATACATACATACATACATACATATACATACATACATTACATACATACATACATACATACATACATACATACATACATACATACATACATACATACATACATACATACATACATACATACATACATACATACATATGTACATGCATGCATACATACGAGAGAGGGAGAGTGGGGAGAGAGAGGCTTGGGGGGATGGGGAGGATGGGAGCAGAGGGAGGGAGAGAGGACGACAGAACACACGAGGGAGACAAGGAAGAGAGGAAGAAGGAGAAAAGGGAGAGGACAATGTCGGCGGACTGAGCCGGAGGCTCTAAAGTATTATCACAAAAGTGTACCAAACAACTGGGCGTGGAGACAAAGCCAGGGCCCAAAATGGATCCCAGCCAACTGGAAAAGTAGCCAAAAACCCTGCGGTGCCCTGGCTTTTAACAACCCATAGCTCACTCCCTGAGCAGATTGGCAAACAAACAGCAAAAAAGACGAAAGTGGTCTTCCCACAAAGCTTCAAGTCCAGGATCTCGCGAAGTGACCAAAAAGTGGCCAACACCCTGCGCTCTGGCTCGTTAAACAAAAATGGGCCGCACCCGAGTGCGGTGTGGTGTGGGGTGGGGGTGTGGCACTCGCCGCCGAAAACACGCGCCGCCTTCGAAGCTCGGTCCTCCGAGGCCAGCTCCTCCTCGAGGTCTTTCGGAGCCTCGGGCGCCGGCGCCTCCGCGTGCTCCATGCGCTCCATGGCCGGGGCCCCGCCCAAAGTCTCCTGCGACTGGATCTCTGGAAGCCTTCGGAATGTCATGGTTTTCTTTTATTAAACTGCAGATGTTGGACCAGGAGCTAAAACCACTGTGTTCTTCTTCTTTTCTTGTTTTCCTTTTTTTTTTCCGGGGGCAAAAGCTAAGGCACTGGGAGTGTCCGGAAACCAATCGGCGACACCAGTTTGGCATGGTGGTTTAAAGGAAGCTGCAAGGGCAAAACTGCAACATGTTTGTTTGGGGGGTCCCGTGTTGATGGACCTGCACAACTCTGTTGCATCAGCAGTGCATCATGGTTCCTTTGGGACACTTTAGTTGTCCAGGGTGAGTTTTGTGGGTAATACAAGTGTGTTTGCCACCCGTTTTCCCGAGGTTGTTGTTTGCTTCTCCCAAGAATTGAGATGCTTCGTCGTGGGTTCTTTGGTTTGGGTGGAGCATGCGGGTGAAATCCTCCGTGCCGGTTTTCCACACATAAACATTTGCAAGCGTCTTGGAATTCAGCCTGGCAACTTGAAGCTGGGGAATCAGCCCCTAGAATACTGCCAACCCGGCAACCCACATGCCATTGGCCACAGTGGCCGGCGCCTCAAACACCATCTGGGCGCTCAAAGCAAGCCGCTCAGCCGCGGGTTGAGCCCAATGCCCACAGCTCAGGAGATGGAATTCAGTGGGTGGACAGAATCATGCACCACTTTCAAGCCATGGTTGAAACCATTTTTGCTGGTATTTTCTTAGGTGGTGCAGGATTTAGTCCATTCACAGTACTTCTTGCATGCTTTCAACTATGCGCATGCCAATGTATGTAATATGTATGTATGTATGTATGTATGTATGTATGTATGTATGTATGTATGTATGTATGTATGTATGTATATATATATATATATATTATTGTATATCACGACAACAACTCAAGCATATACATGGATGTGTTCTGTGTAAGCACATATGTTGACAAGGATTGATAAAAAGAAGCCAGCGTCCAATTGTACTGGTGTAGCGCCCAACTTCCTTCAACACTGGAGATTGTCACTTGCCCAAATGGACCTTTGGAATACGCCAGCTTAACCTTTTGAGACCATGACAAAACATGTGTGCACAACAAGATATTGGGTGTGTCTTTTTTGGAGGGTACCCCATTCAATTTGTGGCTTCAAAACAACACCAAAAAGGAAAGCCACCAATTCGGAGGGTCCAACCTTAAAAGAGACCCGCCCATATACCAGCATGGAAGCAAGTGATTTTGTGCCTCCTGGGAGCAAACGATCAATTCCCAGAACGTGTTGAGCCCCACCTGACAAGAATGGATCCCAGAAAAAAGGCGCAGCCGATCTGCGTTTTAACCCTAACATCAACCTTGACATCAAAAAACGTGTACCAAACGAGTGCCTTAAGGCGCTAAACAAAAACTTGTACCTTGACGTCAACCACTTTGGCTCACATCACCACTGCTTGCGTCGTCGCATGACTCGCACTTTGTGTGCGTTGTATCGCTTGAATGCTGCTCTCACAAGCAGAACCGAAACCTCAACACACATGTCAAAGCCCGCCTAGGAGTGTCATATGCATACATGCAGGCATGACACCACGAACGTGGGCATGCCGCCCACAAGGCAACACCATGTTTTGCCACGTTGCCATGGCGGGTCTGTCTCTGACTGCAGCGCCGCACCCTCCATCGCCGAGTCTAGTTGCGGCGCCACGGGAGTTTGTCGGCTCCGGCCGCTCATTGGGTTTTATAGCAAAAACCGGGGCGAACTTCTTCATCATACTTTTCAAGGAGACAGCTTACCTTCAATGCTTTGATGCCTGGTGGCGTTGGAGGTCTTCCTGCTCCGAGCTTTGGACGATCGCCACAGGGTTCACCTCCCCAGCCGCCAATCAATATGGCGCATGAGAACAGCAACCACGAAGTAGGATGGCTTTTGCAAAGGCAAGCTGCCATCTGGCTACATGCTACGCAGGAACAGGAATAACATTCGGAGGGTTCACAAGTGTTCAAACAACACCTAGCACTGTTGTAGGTCTAGTCAGAAGCGAACTCTGCTGAGCAGGTGATCAATACAAGCGTCTGCCAGTTGATCAACACATGGCATGCGATGCGTACTGCCTTGCTTTTATTTTGCACTCGTTCTCGAATTGCTTTCTGCTCTCATCCGCAAACTGGTTGAGTCCTTTCAATTCATCCAACCAAAAAGGGGGTTCCCACAACACACCAATATTGTTGCCTCTTCAACCACCAAGGTATGCTAAAACTGGATAACTCTTTTCACAAAAGAACCCTGCAAATACACAAAAGCGCATGGAAAGAACGAAGCAATGGAACTCCCAAAGAGCGAACCGGGATTCTGAACTCCTGAAGCCAGCCGCGAAAATCCACATGTCCAGCGCTTTGCTTGGCGAAGCTGCTGGATTGCTTCCCTTTGCAGTCGAGTTTTTTGGCGAAACCAAACATATGTCTGATGGCAAAAGATTCCCTTTTAAAACTTTTGAACCAGGGGAAAATAAAACGAGTCCTTTCTGCAAATGGAAGATTGCTTTGTTTCTCTCTCTTTGCTCTCTCTCTCTCTCTCATGCAGGATTTCCATAGAACAGAAATCCTGCCAGCGCAGCTGTCGCAGCCCTTGAATCGCAATCAGATCCTGAAAAACCAGGATCGGCGGGTCTTGAGCCACAAAAGGAAGAAGAGACGAAAGACCCCAAATATGCTATATGGGTGGCTCGTCTGTTTTTAGGGGACGCTCAAATGGTGGTTATCCTTTTTGGTTTCCCTTTAAAACTACCAAACAAGGGGCACCCTCAAAACAAACACACGCACACACACAGATCTATCACTGCCGGGATCGCCAAGGTTCTGCGGTCATCCAGGCTGTGCCTGAACGGAAATGTCGGCAAATGGTACTCCGCTTTAAACTAATTCTGACGTTAAGTGGAGCAAACTAAGCTGGATTCTAAAACATGTTGGATCTGCATCTCAATGACATGATCTTCGCCGCTCGAGGGCGAGTATCCCAACCTCTTTGTCCAAAACACTGGCCCTGCTGCTGCTGCGACCCGCTGCGTTTTCCCGGATCTCCCACTCAGCGAGGCCGGCCTCAGGCCTCAGCGCTGGACGATGGCACGCGGCTCATGGGGAGTGCGAGTGCTTTTGCTGAGGGCAAGCATTAAATTAACTGGTTGATCTTGAAAGAGAAACCATTAAAGCAAACTCCGCAAGTGTGATGTCAAGCAAGACATCGAGTTGGTCGAATCTAGAATATTCATTTGGCTCTTAACGTGAAACACACGTCCAGCAGTTCAGCCAGCCGAAGTCCGTTTTCTTTCGGTGAACAACCGGCTCTTGCACCTCTGGAAAATACAACATCGGAGCAGGCACAACATGGGAGCAAGGACGGTTACAAAGATCCCTAGGGAAGACCTGAGCGTCAAAAGCCTGTCCTGGGAATGTATACGTTTGATTGAATGTCCTCAAGTGGAGCAATCGTTGCACCTTGGGGTCTCATTTGGAGAACACCAGGATTCAGGCTAGAATGGGGAAGGGGTTGGATTCTGAGCAAGGGTCATGGCGACTTTGAGCAAACACATTGTCAGATGCACCTTTGGCTTGGATCTTTTCCTCGAGCCTCGGCCTGTGGTCGGAGACACAAATGCCTTCTGTTGCTGTTGCCAAGGCCACAGGCCTGACACAGTAAACTGCAAATATGTAACTAGGTCTTCTTGTCATGATTCCCCTAGGAACCTTTGCAATGAAATCTAAATTCCCCGCTAAAGGTTCTCGAGATGACCATCCCAAGTCTTTTGACCGTGGCACACATGATTTGAGCCAGTCTTAAGTTCATGTTATGTTGAATTTCCTGCAGGCTACAAGGGAGTTTGCTGCCAAGTCAACGGCACGTTGCATTTTCAGCATTGCGTGACACCATAAATTAGGACGGGTGTGGCTGAGGTGCTTTGTTATTCTTGTTGGATCCGCGTCCAAAGGTCTCCCCGAAGACAAAGACCCCTTTGGGCCCCGGATTTGGGTTTGCGTGCTGTTCGGCTCTTCTGGGTGTCCTATGGTTGTCAAGGGCCCATCATTATAGGGGGCCCAATCCCATGGGGGCGAATAGCGACGAATAAAGCGTGTTCGGGGCTAATAGGGTGGCCGACGGCATAGACTCACAGCTCACCCTGGCAACTTGCCGCGTTTCTATCTCACCTTTGGGCTTTTACATATTTGGCAGTGGACATAATGAAATGTTTCCCTCCAAAGGCAACGGTTGCCTGAGAATCTCCTGGCAAGGCCCCTCCCTTTTCGTTTTGGTTCGCAGGGCAGTATGGGTGTGCTTTTTGGAAGGTAGCCATATATGTTTCTCGTTGCAAGGGACACAAAGAACACCACCCAAACTGGCGGTCTAAAAACATATCCCGTGAGATATTCCTCACGCCTGGAACTGTTGGACACCTCCCTCCTGGTCCTTAGCGCGGCACATGCTGAGAGCTGTCAGGCAAGCTCCTGAGAGCTAAAGCCGCCCACAATCGCCCACATCCACCCGCTGATTACTTTGCTCTCAAGCGAACAGTGAACCTTAACTAAGCTCGAGTTCTCAACTCTAAGCGCAAGAAAAGTAAATCAAAGCGAATTATTGAAACCAAACTGAAAACTGAATACACAAATTTGTGAAAACGACCTGTCTTTGCATGACACATAGGATTGTCTCAAAAAAAGGTAAACCCAAGCTGGTTTCGTCTTGGTTGTCCATGAACTCCAGCAACCAAGAGGGAATTGCCTCGAACAAGCCGCATGTTCAGCATTGTCGACTTCGAGAAGCACATTAAGTTGGGTCGCTCACTTTGGTGTGCCTACCAATGGCAAGTCTTCCAGCTTTCCATCGGAATGAGTGAGCCGCTTGACTGCTGTCCTGTGTGGGGCTGCCGTCATCAGCCCTCACAGCCTGCCGGAAAATCGAGTTGACCTCAGACCTCGAACCTGCACACACATGGGTTCAAAAGGGTACCCTCAACAAAAAAGATATGTGCATGTGACACGAGCAAGTGCCGGGGATTGAGCAATCAAGGATAGACCACTTTGAAGAGCGACAATCAAACTCTTGAGTGAAACGGCCCAAAACATTGCCGCTCAGAGCCTCCTAGAGGTGGAAGTCCAGGAAATTGGGTTGTGAGATGTGGCGTAAGACACACACACACACTCACTTCCTGAGTGGATTGGCAAAACACAAAATCTGAAGTGTTTTGTTTACCACTAAAATGGTATTCCCAAAAGTATAACGTCCATGAACTCAAGAAGTGAGCCAGACATGTCTATGCCATACATTTGAGTAGACACACCTGCACGAAGTTCATATGAGGATTTATACATCCGGAGAGATCCAATCGCCCCACACGCGCAGTCACAAACAATAAGATCCATGACTGTCGTGTAGCAACCTTAGACGGTTTGTCGTAAAATGCAGTACCCCCAACAATTGGGACCCTTTTCCCATAAGTGAAAAGGGGGCACAACCAAACAAAGACAAACCCGATTGAATTGTACCCTTGAAAAGGAGGCCTGTGAGGTGTTCAATGTTGCTGTGACTTGGCCACAGTCATGGATCTGCACAAGATACAACAATTCCAAACTTAAATGAAGGATCCTCGAGCTAGGCGCCTTCATAGACAGTCGCTCACCTTGCTTTTGGCCAGCTTCGGACAAATCAAATCCAAATTCTTTAATGGGGCAAGGGCGGTAAGGATCCATATGTGACTCGAATGCAGGCCAGTTGGGTGCTGTTTCCAACAGGAAACCAATGAGCGTCTGGGGTCCGGGTTTCATTTCAAGGCGCAGTCTCGGGAACCCCGCCATTTTCCCGAAACGGGCGGCGTGCGAGCGCCTCGCTGAGCCGAGGAGCCCCAGCGTCATTAGCCTAGCGGACGAAAACCCGTCTTGCCGGGTCCCTGAAAGTTTGTCGGCCTTCCTTGCGGACCCCAAAAGAGCATTCTTAGAAACAGCAAGTCCAATGAAATACTAGTACCCTCCGAATTTCCCATGGCAAATTGATCTTGCAGGTCCCAACAGGTGCCAGTAACATGGGAGGAAGGGTCTCATCTTGGAACCTCGTCATCATTTTCTCTGGCTCTCACATTTGGCCAGCCCTGAGAGGAGCCGGGGAAGCACATGTGCACATGGTCGCACCCCGCTGCCGCTATCGCAGATCACTGATGAGCATCCACTGAATGAGTGAAATTGTAACACATGTCTGCTGCCAAAGGTGGATATCCGCAGAAGCCTATCTTTTCAGCTGTTTCTGAAAACCTGGTTCAGAACCGCGTCTTTTCGAGACACCTCCTCCTTCTGGTGTTTGGTGGCTGTAGGTGCGGCTTGAAAAGCCTTAGTAAGGCCGTTCCATGACCATTCATGTTTGCTAAGTAACCGGGTCATGGAGACTCCAGGCATGTGAGTCACCAAAAGTTGGTATGAAAATGGTCTACCCAAACCACTGACAAGAATCTTCAAAAGGCGGCGAAGGCACCTCTTTTATGGTTGGGATTCTCCCTTACCTAACCACCAAATCACCAATTCAAACCACCAAGTAAGGTTTTCTGCACAGAAAAGGTTGAATGTTGGAGGGACTCTACACAAGTCGCACCTGCCGTATGCAATGTATACCAGTCTTTGGCATTGCAGAATATCCTGCACCAACGTACCTCGCCCGCAATGCATTTGTCAAGCAAACATGACAAGGGCTTTGACAGTTCCACTTCCACCCTCACCTTTTCTAGTGGACTCAGTTGCGAAACACGCAATCCAGCTTTGGGACTGATAAACGGAAACGGCTTCAATAAGTTTCAGGAGAAAGCCCCGCCCCCAACCGCGACAAATCATGGTTTCTACTGTTTAAAGTTTAAACGTTCATGCTATTGAAACAACGATTTGCAGATTGGAATTTGGGCTTTGACCAAAGAACTCTTCCATTTGCTTAAGCCCCCGCGAAAAACACAAAACATATGTCCAGTAGTGAAGTCGATTCGCTTTAAAGCCAACGCGGGAAGAACGACTTCGTTTCTGCAAATTGGACATTTCATGTGAAATTTCTGGACAACCCGAACTCGGTTGCTTTCTGCTCCCCTGCTAAAAGTTTATTTTTTAGTGGTTTAATGGAAAACCCATTTGCTGGCAAAAAGTTAAAGTCCTAACATCCGAGCAAAATGCACCAAAGTGAAAACAACCCAAACGCAACCCGAGCGCTTCGCTCTCTCGCCCCACCTCAGCCGCCCCCGCGTCGAGAACGGCCGATCTGCGTGCGCCCGTTCTCGTCTCCTGAGCTCGACGCATTCCAGCGACGACGGCGGCACATGGGAAACCTGCGGTTCATAGGTGACGTTTTGGACAAAATTGATGGGCTTTTCTGGTAACTGGGCTGCCCTCAGATCCCCTGCTAAAAGTTTAAACTTTTAGTGGGGTAAATGGAAACTACCACTAAACTCTGAAACCTAAGGAGATGGCTGGAGGCCACCAAGGTAAATGAAATGCAACCTATGTAAACCAGTGGAACACATCTATTTCCAACAAAAATCGATGGCCCTGGAAAATGGGAATACCTAAAAAACCAGCGCAAACCATGGTTTTTGTTTACCAAAGTAAGTGATCAAACGGACACCTATGGCTCTCAGTCCCGCTTTGTGACCAATGTGCGCGAGAATGTAGGACCCGCGAGGCAGATATATTGGGGACCGAATTGTCTGCAGGAAACTTGGTCGGAACTTGGGTACTGTTTTTGATATTTGGGATAACATGGCGGTGGGTCTAAATAGGTACCCAAAATGGCAAATGGAGCCCAGGACTAAAACCCGCGGTTTTCGTGGCGGTCTCATTTTGACCCATACCGGCATACTGAGTTTTTAACTCAAGGAACCATCCCCGTATCGACCCTCAACGGCTCCTCCGCGGATGGTCGGGCCTTTGGCCTTGTCCTCGCGGGCTTGGGAATGAAACCAACCCCCCGAAGGCCCCGGAAACCATTCTTAGAACCCCATGGGACGCCTATGATCCTTTTAGGTGAGCTTGGTTGAAAATAGATGGCACTGGTTTAGATGGGTGCTGTTCCATTTGCCAGGGCCATCTATTTTTAACCAAAAGGCCACCTATGCATGGGAAAACCTTGAGAAAATGCTTTTTCCAGGGTCCTTGGAATCTTTCTAATGCCGACATGTGCCCTTGTTTGGGGCGGGGCTGGCACACTCCACCTGATCAGGCCTATGATTTCAAGTCTTGCCTCGTTTCGCTTCAAAACCGCAAGGTTCCAAAGATTCTCACAGGTGGCACTGAGAAAAGGTGGCCATCTGTAAAAGACTCGAGCGACGACGGGGCATCCTCGTTTGCCACACATGCCTCCCAACTGCACTGACTAAACATGGCGGGGAGCCGGCCCCAATCCAATCCCTAGCATCCTCTCCTCTTTCTCTCTTTCCTTCCCGCATCTTCCCGCTCTCTCTCTCTCTCTCTCTCTCTCTCTCTCTCTCTCTTTCCCCCTCTCCCCCTTGACTGGAGGTGTATACCGCAAACATGAAGAGCAAGAACCAGCCGTGCAAACTAAAAGGTCAACTCACTGCCGTGGCCAACAAAGCAACCAGCATGGTCCCGCGACCAGTCCTTCTCCATCTCTGCCTGGCATCCGAACGAACGATGACTTGCCGATAGAAACGGATCGTGTCCTTTTCGTGGGAACCGTGTTGCGGTTGCAACATCCTGTTGTTTGTTACAGCCCTCTACTAAATATGAACAGAACCAAAGAATAACAAACAACTTGCCAAGAACAGTGCAGTGAGGGTTGTTTTAGGGAAGCCACAGGAAAACTACTGAGCCAAACGGTCAAACCCATGGAGTGGTTCTCCCATGTTGTGAAGCTTGACAGCAGCCACGAATGCGCAAACTGACACCAGAGATGGGAGCAAATATACCTTGCAACGTTCGAACAGCGGAGGCAGCGCTCGTGCAAAAGCTCAAGCTCGGGCAACCCCTACCCTTCCTCGCAGCAAGTGAGCAATGGACAATATTGCCAGGATATTTGTTTTGATGCTCCCCTCTCGATTCGGCAATTTGATGGGTGTTGGTCTTTGGTCCATCGTTTTGCGTGGAAACAATGCCTGCACGGGGCCGAACAGCCACTGATGTCCAGCAATACCCCAAATTTGTGTAGCTCTCCCAATCCGATTGGGGATCAGCATTCCCAACTTAAGACACGGGTTAGAGAAACCTTGATCAGAGAAGTCATTTGACCAGATCCCCGGGTGTAACTTCATGTCGACTTCGGATTGTTCCGCAGAGGAACCTCTAAAAGAGAACCCCCCTTTTTGGTACGGTCCTCTGGATTAATCAAAAGCTCAACTTACTCCGCATCACTACGCCTCAGGTTTTGAAAGTGTTCCGCCAAGCTCTCCTGCCTTGATGCGGGCGTCCCGCTCCTCGCGTACATGCTTCTCCCATTCCTCGTTGGCCTAGGCTTCCGCCGGGTTGCAAAATACTTTTCACGCACACGTCTTCATGCGTGTGGGGGCAGTTTTGAAAATTGGCTATGGTTAATTCCCTAAACTTTATATAGAGGGGAACGTGGATCCGCTCAAAACAAGCAGCAGTTTGTCATGAGTAGTTCAATGACAGGACGTCCCAAATACGGCCCATAAAATCTGCCAGCCAGATCACATAGATCACATTGCCCAGGGATGACCGGCCAACCATGACTCTCTCTGGGTAAACAACACCGTGCCGAGCAGCTGGCAAGCACAAACCGACCTGGGTCGTCCATGTCTGAGGCTCCTGCCACGGTCTGCAGCCTGGCAAAGCCAGAGAATCGTCTCTTCCAATAGCAAAAGCCCTTGGGTTGCCGTGAATCGGCATCAACTTCTTTTTCAATACTGCGCAACACAATGTCAAGAAGACCCCATCTCCAGGACAAGAGTCCTCTAGGACAAGAGTCAAGGAAATACAATCAAATATGTTGTCGTGTTGCTGCCCACGAGGCCTGCCTACGAGGCCTGATCCTAAATATTGCAAATGTGGCTCCCAACCACTCAACATGGGAGAATCCTCACAATGGGTGGTTGCCCAACTCAAAAAAACGTGTAAACTAAACTCCCAACCCCACCCCCAACCCACATGCATGTTCCTTTTCCAATTGTTCTAAGAGCGTTTAGCTCCAGCATGGTCCGGCTCCGATAGGTAGGAATTGCCAGATTCTGGAAAAACGCTCTTCTCAGTTGCCCACTTTGGACCGAGAACTAAAAGGATTACCTTTGAACCAATAGGTTAAAAGATCGGCAACACATTACAAGGTCGGCTTTGGGCAAGTGAGTTGAAAGAGCCCTCTGCATGAGTTGTTGGTCAGTATCAGTGCGCTCACTTGATGAGGGGGTTGGCGAAGAGGAGCACCAGGGCGATCACCAATCCTGAGCCAAGCGCTCAGGCGGCGAGAAAAAGTGGGACAAACAACATGGGTGCGTCTGTTTTTGAGGGCACCCTGCAGGGAACCCCAAAAAGAAAACCCACCATTTGTTGTTGGTTTGCGGCGGCTCCTCTAAAAAACGACACACGCACATCAGGCGAAACTATGTGTTAAAGTGAAGGCGCCGTAAATAGTCAGGGACTCCATGAAGGCCAAGGACAGCAGCAGCACTCCGCGCAGGTCATCCGCGACCTCAGGCTGCCGGGAGATGCCGTCAATGCATCGGCCCGAGGCGATGCCCTGGCCGACCCCGGAGCCAATGGCTGCCTTACTTGCCAAAATAACCTGGAAATAACAAGGTGATCACCTTTGAAGGCCAATACAAGTGGACCAAAAAGGGAAAACCAATGGGCTACGCGGACTGAGCTGCCAATCCGATCGCGAAGCCCGCCCCGATGGCGGACAGCGCAGGGATCCAAACAGAGCCACCCTCCGCGAAGGCCGCCTGTGGCGTCGCCAAGACTGCCGCGCTCAGGGCTGCCGCAGTGCCTGCGTTGGTGGCCGGGGCAGACACGGGAGCGCGGGCAACAGGCACAAATGCGCTGAAGAGTGCGCCCGAGCACAGCAGCACGGCACCGGTCAGCACCAGGGATCGAGCCATGATGACAATTGGACTGTGTCGAGGCACAAAAGGCTGGCCAACTTCCAACTTGAACCAAAATGAAAAAGACCCCAAAAGTCAAGGGAATGCAATCAACAAGTTGCAGCATTGCGGCAAATCACTCCCCACGAGACCTCATCATATCCCTGGACAGTTGATCCCTAAATATTGCAGATTAAGCCCAAGCACTAGAAATGCGCGAATCCCAAGAATGGGTCGTTTCCCAACCCATAAACGTGGAAAACTAAGCTTCCCCGCAGTCACCAAAATGTATGTTCCTTTTTCCAATTGTTCTAAGAGCGCTTAGCTCCAGCATGGTCCGGCTCCGATAGGTAGGAATTGCCAGATTCTGGAAAAACGCTCTTCTCAGTTGCCCACTTTGGACCGAGAACTAAAAGGATTACCTTTGAACCAATAGGTTAAAAGATCGGCAACACATTACAAGGTCGGCTTTGGGCAAGTGAGTTGAAAGAGCCCTCTGCATGAGTTGTTGGTCAGTATCAGTGCGCTCACTTGATGAGGGGGTTGGCGAAGAGGAGCACCAGGGCGATCACCAATCCTGAGCCAAGCGCTCAGGCGGCGAGAAAAAGTGGGACAAACCACATGGGTGCGTCTGTTTTTGAGGGCACTCTGCAGGGAACCCCAAAAAGAAAACCCACCATTTGTTGTTGGTTTGCGGCGGCTCCTCTAAAAAACGACACATGCACATCGGGCAAAACTATGTGTTGAAGTGAAGGCGCCGTAAATAGTCAGGGACTCCATGAAGGCCAAGGACAGCAGCAGCACTCCGCGCAGGTCATCCGCGACCTCAGGCTGCCGGGAGATGCCATCGATGCATCGGCCCGAGGCGATGCCCTGGCCGACCCCGGAGCCGATGGCTGCCTTACTTGCCAAAATAACCTGGAAATAACAACCTTTGAAGCGAAAACGGAAAACCAATGGGCTACGCGGACTGAGCTGCCAATCCGATCGCGAAGCCCGCCCCAATGGCGGACAGCGCAGGGATCCAAACAGAGCCACCCTCCGCGAAGGCCGCCTGTGGCGTCGCCAAGACTGCCGCGCTCAGGGCTGCCGCAGTGCCTGCGTTGGTGGCCGGGGCAGGCACGGGAGCGCGGGCAACAGGCACAAATGCGCTGAAGAGTGCGCCCGAGCACAGCAGCACGGCACCGGTCAGCACCAGGGATCGAGCCATGATGACAATTGGACTGTCGAGGCACAATGGCTGGCCAACTTCCAACTTGAACCAAAACAATGAAGACCCCGTGTCTGGACAAAAGTCGAGGGAATGCAACCAACAAGTTGCAGTATTGCGGCAAATCACTGCCCAAAAGGCCTGATCCCGTTTTTGGAAGCACTAAAGATGCGCAAATCCAAAAAAATGTGTTTCCCACACCATCGGGGTCTGGTGCTGGGGGCTGGGGTTGGGCCCGCCCAATTTCTGCAGAAAATGGAGGGGGGAGGGGTCCAACCCAATTTTTCATTAGAAAACGGCGCGCCGACCCCATCTTCATAACACATGCTCAATTCAGAAAAGGGGGGGTCAAGCCAACCCCCAATATAAAAAAATCGGGGTCCAACCCCACCACGAAAAAAACGAAAACGGCAGCGTCGTGAAAAAAATTGGGAGGTCAACCTCCATTACACTGTCAGCATCATTTCTGTTATAGTGCGTGGCTCCCTTACCCTTACAAGGTAAACTTTCAGTGAGATACGACATAAACCCCCCTAAACTCAAAAGAGTTGAACGTTGGGTATGGCCGAGAACGGCCCAAATGAGACATGTTGACAGGTCGATTCGCTGGACTGAAGCCAGTCGCATTTTTTGAGGCTGCGGTCTTCCAATGCGACATTCCGTCCTTCTGCCCTGCCCGTCTGAGGTGGGGCGACTTCCGCGCGTGAAGGTCTGCTTTGACGTCCCCGGAAAGCCCCCCCTGCGCTTTGTGCCAACGTGTTTCGCGGGGCTCAGGAAAAATCCGCCGGGCGTTACTTACGGAGTTCCCAAGATGTCCTCTTCAAACATCACACTAGGCAAAACACATGATAAATATTTTAGAAGATGGGGTCAACCAATCCAGACCCCGGAGCAGGTGGTGGGGGTGTTAGTACGATGGGGTCTTCTGGACCAGGCAGACTCGGACGTGGGATCTTCCGACCCTCGCAGAGGTCTACGCTCACCGATTCACATTCAGGTACATCTACTCGGCGTGGGCCACTTTCCCGTTGGTGGTGAAGCCGCAGCGCAGGGGGCGCAACGGCGAGGGCTCCACGTCGGACAAGTGGCTCGGCAACATCCTGCAGATGCGCAAGGAGGCGGCGCCCTTCTTCGAGAGCCTGGGCATCCCCAAGCCCAGGAACAAGACGGAGTGGACCTACGTCCTCAAGGAGATGGGCACCCTCCTGGCCGCGAAGAATTTCATCGCAAATTGCCCCACCCCGGTGATGGAGTTGCCAGTGGCACCCATCCACGACAGCAAGGAGGCGCTGCGTTTCCGGTTTGCGACGAGCGGATCACCCTGCCACTGTCCGCGCTCCGGGGAGTTGAGGCGGTCTACACCAAACTGGTGGCGGGGTTGAGCCATGGTGGAGGTCAAGGTGCAATGTGCTGCACGATTGGGTTGAGGAGGTCCCTAAGGAGGCGGCGGGGTCCCTGTACGACAAGGCTATTCCCACGACCACATCGTGAAGCTGGGCTGCTCCCCCCCCCAGGGTGCCTCCGGCCCCGGGGGGGCGGCGGCCAAGGACCCGAAGGCGGCGGGTGCGGACACCACGCTGAGGTCCACGGACCAGGGCACACGGCGCTACCCGCGGCAGTGGCGGGGTAAAGAAGCACTTCCCAAAGGAGGCAGAGCATGTGTTCTGGGGATCGGTGGAGTGTGGCTTGGTCCTGCCCAGCATTAGTGCCTGGGAGGTTGTGAGCAAGGAGAAGTTCAAGGCAACAGGGGGCTACATGTGCCGGTTTTGCCGTGGCTTCTGGAAGGCAAGCCGGGGTGGCTCGCGGCTGTTGCAGATCACGCGGTGGCACAAGGACAAGGCGACGTGCCTGCAGCTGGCGGTGGACCCCGGAGGCGCTGTACAACCAATGGGTCAAGGACCGCACGGAGTTCTGCAAGCGGGTGGAGCCCACGGAGCCGCCTCGGGACGGCGGACGCGAGCACCCCCCACCCCCGTTTCAGCTCCTCCAATGGCATGGGGGACGTTTCCTCGGCCTTGTGGACGGTCATCCTGAGCAACCCGGAGAAGCCGGGCTTGACGGCCATCCAGTCGGTGGCGAAGCAGGCCATCCTGAAAGGTAGGAAATTTTCAACTTCCTGCTTCCGGTGCCCTGAAACACGCAGTTATTTGGAGGATCACTCCTTCATGGGACTGGGTGCCTCCGGCCCCGTCCCGAGGGGGAGGCTTGTTGGTCTTTTGTGTTTGATGTGGGTTGGTTTGAGTTGCCTCTTGGCCTTTTGGCGTAAGGGATCCCTGTTACTCCGGAGGCGCCCGCAGGATCTCCCTTTGACTCGCAGACGGGGATCCCTCCGTTCCAACGGGGTTTCGGGCCCCTTTCCCCCCCCTTTCCTGTGGCTTTTGGGTGGGGGTTTTTGGGTCTGGGGATCCCTTTTCTTCCCCGCTCTGCTTCTACTGACCCAAACATTTTGGATCTGAACCTGTCACGCCTGCAGATATTGCGCACTGCAATGCAAGCAACTGCACTCTGCCTGCCACTGCACTTTGAGCTGCACATGATA